CCGTTGCCATTATTGCTTATTACTTATATTTTATAATTATTGTTATATTTGTATAATAAACATAAATAACAAAACTTTTTATTATCATTACCTGCTTGTGATATTGTTGCTATCACTAATATTACTCTTATCATCATTACTGTGATTATCATTTATAATTAATGAGTCGTCGCATTCTTTACAATTCATAAAAAGTTCTGTACTTTTAATTATTGAAAAGTAATATTTTATGAATGTTAGCAATTTTTTTAATTGTCAAAAAATTTTAGAGATTGCTGTTAGAATATTTTTATGCCTGAAAGAAGATTGAAACTGAGATAATTATCTGAATTAAATATAGAAATTAGTCATTTCTTGGAATCAGCACTGAATCTGAATCACTCCATAAATCAGTTGTTTGACTGATGAGTGCGAATTCCTTGCCACTCTTGCATTCTTTCATGATTAGCCATTCTGTTTGCACTTTTTTTGTGCGAACATTGCTCGAAAATTTGTCTTCTTTGTTAAATTTAAAACAAACTAATCATTCGACCTGTAATACAATTAAAGTGTTTATTACAGGTCGAATAATTAGTACTGTTTCCTTAATGCCTTTAATTATGCGCTCAGAAATATTTTAATGTATTGTTAATGCAATTACAAGCACTACTGAATTTTTATGAAACAGAAGAATTTTTAGAAAAATTATGAAGTCACAAATGAGAAATATTTTTTTGCAACTTTTCAGACATACTTTTTCAGGGCAAATGTTTTGGCGCTGATTACATATTCAAATTGTTCTTTACCAATTCATTGCTTAATACAGAGCTCTGATTTTGTTTTCAGTGTTCCCAATGAAAGCTCTGCTATTTTGTGATTTACGTTTGTTTAGATCGACGGAACTTTTCCATATTTCTGGTTTTTCGTTGAAAGAAAATCCACAAAAATCATATCTTATCAAGGCTAATTATTTTTATTTATAAGTAATCAAGTATTAGAGTGATAATTTGTTTATTTTTTCAAGGCAGACTTATTTTGAATTTCGAAATAGCTACAGATAGTATTTAAATTTGTAAAATTCCATCAAGATTAGAATAGTTACATCAATTTATCGAAGTGATGTGGAATAGCAACAATTTCCTTCTACTTTTTTATGAAGATATTTAATAAGCATCAGTTTGACGTATTCATCCAGAAATTATTTTTAAAAGACTTTCGTAGAAGTCAAAATAAAATGGCACTCTTAGCTGGAGGGACTGAAAGTTGTTTTAGATTGATGAACTCAGAATCGCAAGCAAGCAGCGAAAAAGGATGTCCAACAAACTGTCCAAAATTTCAAATCGCTTTTCTCAGACTTTTGCACTAACTGGTGTCAGAGTTCTACGTAACGTATCACTTAGCAAATGATTGATTAATGCTAATTGATTCGCAAACAATTCAAAGTATTCGCCTGATGGATCAGTTTTATTTTTTAGTGATTAGACGACACCCCTCATTGTAAGTAAATTTTGGTGTTTTTGCGTTAAATTTCATTGATTAGTTTTATTAATGTTTAACGAATAATTCAGCAAGAGAATCAAATTTACAAAATATCATAGTAGTAGTAATCGAAATTGCTTGGAACAAAACGTATCATGCTGAAACTGCTGCGACATCTCATCCGTAGCTGCAGCTGATCAAAGCAAGAACGACAAGAGCGTCGACAGTTTTCTAGCATCCATGCATTTCTTTGGCATTCCCCTTGCATCGCCCATATAGGACAACTTCGGTGGTAATCATTACACGCTGAAATTTACAAATTCAAAACTTGTTAAATCATTCGTATTGAAATAATCAAAACAACGTCCTGTATCAAATACTGGTACATTAAAAGCAATAATTATGGAACAAGCAAAATAAGTATTTGCGACTGAAAAGTGCTTATAGTAAAATTTAATGAGCTATAAAAGGAAGAATAATTAATTTCAGAATGACTGATAACCGCGAAAGAAAATCAAGTGTTATAGGTGTTATTTATGATTAGTCGAAAATTTCAGACTTTCCAGTTTGACAGCGCCGAAATAACCTTTGGTAAAATGAAGAAGCGAAGCATTTTTCAAGTGATTCATGTGTACAAATTAATTTAAAATTTTGTATCTCGCTGACAAACATATGAAAAGACGAGCTGAACAAAAATTTCCCACTGAGAGTGAAGCTGTGTCAAGTAATATAAAAACTTTGCTCGCATAAATTGAGTTTTTTGAAGAAGGAAAACTCAAGCATCAATTCTGCATTTTATTACTTTTAAAGACCAGTAGAATCGTACTTTCTGTAAATTCAGTTATTTCGGCAGTAAACTATAAAAATGTAAAAAATACTTACTTCCATAGTCATACTCACTGGAAATACACAGGCCACAGCTTACTTTACAATTGCACGCCATCCAAGTTGCATTTCTGGAGCAATAACCTTGTAAACTCCACAAGGGACAACAGACATTTTCATTATAGCATCCGGGTGAATTGCAATGCAGTAAGTTAGGACGATGAGGATGAGGTCGATCTCGAGGTCGAGTTGCAGTAGTTGTTCTTGTTGTTGTCATAGCTGCCGTCCGTGATGTCACTGTGGGCAGTGGTGTGGTTGCTGTTGCTTCAAAACTCTCAATTAGATTTAAAAATCTTAGGCTTATTCTTTTCGAAACATTTTGAAGTGAAGAAAATTTTTGGATAAAGCGCAAAAAAATCAAAGAAAAACTTAATGAACGGAAAGCTCTTTCAAAACTATTATTGCTGCATTACTCACGCAATTTTTTCTAATAATTTTAAATGCAATTAATAAAATCCAGGTAAATTAATAATAAATCATCACAGCAGTTCAGCAGATCAGATTAATTATTGAAAAGAAGGTTTAGGCGCGAATATAATAATAACCTTGCCTGCCGCCAGTACAAACTTCGACTCTCGTCCGACCGCACCGACCACAACTTCGGCGGCAATTTTCGCTCATCCATCTGGGATTTTTTGTACATTCATTAGTCCTCGCCCACAAGTCACAATTTTGATGATGGTTCGAGCATTCTTAAAAATTTTGAGTAATTGAAATCAAAATAGTTTAAATTCTTTAGTTTAATATTAGCAAAATCCTTGAAATTTTTAGAGAATTGCAAGTTTCATTTCATTTTTCATTTGAGCCCTATTGATTCCAAAACTGATTCGTATTCCGACACTTTGATCGTACTCCTTTTGCGCTGTTTTATTTTGCTAAACATCGTTGCTTTATCCTAGTCTAATCCACGGCGGTGATCGGAAGAAATGCTTTCGAGTATTTTCTTGAGCAGTATTGATCGGATATATGCCTCAATATGAATAAATATTTTTGAAAGCACTTGTAAAAGTTCGTTACTATTCCATCCATATACGAGGTTTTCTGGATGGAATAGTGACAAACGTAACACGGAATCTACTCAATTCTTTAGTTCTTAGAAGGTGGATTGCACATACAAAATTTTCTCAATACAGAGAAGGACATAAAGGCCATCTCGCTCTCCGCATCTTCCTGAAACGGTCAGGGGCAGCTTTAAGCGCTTTCTCTGACCAGCTTATCTGCGGAACCGCGATTCCTCGAATGAGTACTTCGAGCGTAATCATCCTGTTGGTTCCTGGTTCCGTTACAACTATGATCCCAGATGCGGTTTTTCTCGGTTCATTGTCCGTTTTGTTTTCAGACCTCTGATATCCTGACTGCAAGCCCAGCATTCTTCATCATTGAAAATTCAAACTTTATCAACAATATCTTTTCATTCTCTTTGCTCGTATCTCTTTCCTTCACTTCTTCTACTTCTTGCTTCCGTTCCTTCAGAAGTACTATAATTAGGGAATAAAAGAGCAGATTAGTTGTGGTCAACTACTTCTTTTTGCTTCCTGAAAGTCGCCTGTAAATAGAAACTTCTTCAGAAAGGCATTTTCAGCCATTTCATAACTGATCCGATTGATTGTCCTGTTCCTACTATTTTTACTGTTCTGGTGCTTTCTACATTAATACCATTGCTTTGTTTGGCTCATATTGATGGCAATTAATTGCATTTAACTGATGTAAGTACAGTAGAATGTTCTAATGTGGAATGTTTCAACTCCATATTCAATACTTGAACGGATTTTCGATCTACTTAGTTAAAATTCAGAATATGTTCTATAAGTATTGCAACTATGTGCAGAGAAGAGATATAGAAAAGCCTAGAAGGAATGGACAATTTGAGGATGAATGAATTGCAGTGCAATGGAAATTGTACCCTCGGTTCCGTTGAAACTTGGCAGGCAAATGCGACAGGAAACCTTGCACCATTCACGCATATAATTAGCATTGCGATTGCATTCTCCCTGTTGAGCCCAAACCTGGCAGCATTCGTGCTCGTTAAAACAGTTCGTCTGCACAGATATTGTGGGTGCTCTGGTAGTGGGTGCCGCAATTGGTGCAAGTGACGTTACTGGTTTAGTCTGCAATAATTTTTTTATTAGAATAGCGAATTATTGCACTACACGTATTGCAAATAGGAAAACTAATAATAAGCTTATCAGTGAGATAATTCATCTGCACTGTGATTAGTCCAGTTGAATCGACAGAATGAATATGACATTATGGGAGTGAGGATTCTAACAAAGATTCTAAAATTTGGCTTCTATCGTAAAAATGTAACATTACAACTGACGCCACAACAGAGCTTTGTTTTTCATCAACAACATTTCGCTTCTTAGCATATATAATTTTTTTTATTCGAATCGTTTTTAAATGCTTTACAATTGCAAAAAGTAATAACAATTAATTGTATATTCTTGGCTTGTAATTCGTCACCAAATTTTAGAATCTTTGTTAGAATCCTCACTTCCATAATGTCATATTTATTCTGTCGATTCAACTATATATATTCTTATTTTTTTCGAAGATTCTTACTCATAACCCTTCATGATGGTGATCATAGCATTAGGAAAATAGCTGCGATTAAAAAATTTGCGTGATTACAACTAATTTCATAACTATCATCAGACGTAATGAAACTACAAGTCGATGATCGATCTAATCATCAACAGCTCGAAGAAATTGAATTTCAAATCAAGACTAGTGCATCCATGATATATCGAAGAAGATTTGATTTCTGAGTCTCGACAATTACGAATATTAACTAACATTAGTAGTTTCTATAGGAACACATCGTCCATTGACACAAACTCCCTCATGACATACCGATTCACCATTAATAAATCCATCACATCGACCCCCGCTTCGAACTTGTGATACACAGTGTGGTCGTCCGTGCGATAAGTCGCAAAATAAGTATCTAAAAGACGTAAGTTTTTTGTGCACTATTTTTTGCGAAGTAAGTTTACAAGTTTATCAGTTTCCAAATTATGTGCAACTGAAGATTTTTTAACGTCTCGTAACAATAGTCTGCAGACTGTCTCACATACAATGTAAAGGTAAGTCGGCATGATATTCGAACTGCATGTTCTCAATAATTAAAAAATCACTGCCAAACAAAAAATTTTTAGCATGGCAGTACAATACTGCGACCTTTCTACCGCTATTTCCACTTTGAACAATAATAATTACACCAGCAATTATTATTTTCACTATTAGCACTTTTTCACTTACTTTGACCCACAGTTTTGTCCACTTTGGCAAGTTGGCCGAGATGCATATTCATACATATTATCGATATACTTATTGCTCAAACCTTCGATATTGCGAAGAGGAGTGAAAGGTCGCATCAAGGCTGAACCAAAGTGCAGTGCACTGCTGCATGCTTGATTATCTAAGGGATAATCGTTCTCACGCTGATATCGCGTCTGAAATCCTATCAAATTATATTCAATGGCAAGTAGTCAGTTGCAGAAATTTGTCATCAAGATCGCAAAAAAATGCTTAAAGTGGTTAAAAATCACTTGTACTACTTATGAGTTCAGATTTCGCATAGTGAAAAGAAAGGTAAGTCAACCTGTTTTTCTTGTCTGTACATCTCCCAAATGTAGTCGACGAATGAATGATGCAAATAAAATGAAGGGTCATTACCGGATGTGTAAGGGTCATACATATCGCCCCCCACGAAAATGTGCACATTTCCATGCGTATATTCCAAAGCATTGTAATTAGCACGATATTGACAACCCTTTGATATGATTCTAACATAGAATATAGACAATAAATGATTAAATTATAGGTTCAGCTCAGAAGCGTACCCCTCATGCTGTTATGACGAGAACAGGCTATGATTTTTTGTTGCAATAAATTTAGACTCACTAAAATCCAGCTGACTAGCGCATGAATTGAGTCTCAAGTGTAGGAAATGTCTCAGATGACAGATAAATATTAACTACCTGTCTGGGAGCTGTAAATGAGAGAACAGTTTCAATTTGGTTTTGCTGCAGAAGCCAGTCAATTTCAGATTGCTTGAATGGTGAACCTTGCTTCCCAACTTCACGCTTGATGTGGGGATGCTTCTGTAATTAATATTGATTCAGAAATTAATTGTTTCTATTCAATTCCTCCAGTTACACACTAGCATATAAAGTTAACTAAAAGTAATGCCGAACTTGGAATGTCACAAAATTGGCAAAATTTCCACCAGTCACAGCTCCTTCTTCATTGGTTGAACCCATGAATTCGTCTGTCCACAATATTGAATCTGATGGGTTCGGTAATCCACTATCCAAAACAGAATCCCAATAAGGTAATGCGACGGTTGGGTCAATTTGACGTAGAGCAATCTCAAATCTTTTATCAAAATAAAATATTTTTGACCCAACAAAACCATAAAAATATTAGGCTTCAACAAATCAGTTAACATATGAATTAAGTCATTAAATTATGAAGGAAATGATAAATTACGATATTTAAAGTCATTTATCTTAAATACCTTTTTAAAAACTCCCGATGCCAGGGGAGAAAAGCAGGTCCAGAATGTGCACCACCGCTAACAGCTGCGCGACCGTGAATCAAAGCCATGTTTTCAAACTCTCCTGAACTTTTGAGTTTTTTCAGAGCATTGTGGAACCTGTTCCTTTCTTGATCTGTCAGCATACGGTATTCCTTCCGAATAGCTTTTGTTAATCGAGATCCATCCGGTAAATAACAGACACCACCTGGTTGCACTCGGCCTAAAGCACTTCTTTTATTCGGTTCATTACTGCTGCAGTAATGAGTGCTTTCATGCAGTCAGCTTGTTTGAATAGTTATTTCTTTGAACCAAATTTGTAGATGAGTTTGCTCAAAAAATACGCAAGGCAAATTTTGACCTTTCTTCACAATGAAAATTGATTAAACTTCATGGTTGACCTTATTTCACACTTTTCTAATATTTTTTACTGTTTCGACTTGCTGAATTTGAGTGCTGGCTGAGTTGTTCAGTGTTAATTGCTTCACTGAAGTTAGATTTGAAGAGCTGTGAAAAACGTTTTTGAAAGGGTAAGTAATTCTAGAGTCATAAAGGCGAAATGCTTAAATGTTGTTCTTTGAGAGTGAAAAATATGTTTGAATAAATAATCAAAGCCAGTTCTTGAAATTGAAAAAAATTGCACTGTGACATGGATTTTTCTTAAAATTCCATGTTTCTGAATCATTCATCATCTAATAGGTCGCGAATCATCCACAACCACAAATTTCAGTGATTAAAACTCAGTGAAGTTGATAGATAGTAGATGAGTAATTTGTGATGTAAACCTTCATTATGTACGTAACTATTCAATTAATACATTATTCACGGAGGCAGCTGAAGTATGATCTGCTGGATGAGCTATTTGCATTTCATGGAAATGTGAATTTTTAAAAGCACGTTTGAAATACTAACAATCTCGCAAACAGTTCGTTGTTATTTGTGATTGTAAAAAAATGAAGCAGTGATGTTGCATTCCGTCTTCATATTACAGCAATTTTAGTGTTTGATTGAAGAAAAATTTATAGATTCGATAAAATTTTGAAAAAAGTAATCAGTCTTGTGAGAAAATATTTCACACTTACTAATTACCTAATTTTGGAATGTGCTTATAGTTCATCAGAATAACAGCTTAAAGATATGAATTCGAAAAAGTAAGCTATTTTTGATCACAGTAATTCAATTTGAACTTATTTGATCACTTATAAAAAAGTAATACAGTAATTGTTCAAATTGTCAATCAGTTTCTATAATATGATTAACTTAGTACTGGTGATTACTATCAGTAAGGATAGACAAAAAAAGATAGACATAAAAAGCTACCATCACTGATAGTGTATAATGCTGGAATTTTTGAAATGAAATATACTTGACCTCTGAAGTAAATGCATAAGCATTCTAAATCCAAGCACTGATATGGAGTTGAAGAAATAGGTGAAAGCTCTGCGGCGACCATTTGAATTTTTCCAGCAATGGCGGGTGGTAGCGGTGCCAACGATCCCACCGGAGATTTAGCCTATAGGTCAAGAACTGTCTATAATCGCGCTGATTTCATGTGCATTGTTTTACTTTAATGAAAATTTTCAAACTTTATAATTTTGCCAATATCTTAAGCGAAATGCTGCGTTTTTAGATAATAATGAATGACGAACTCGAGCTTCTTTGTCCCATTTATGCAACTGCTCGCACACTATCTGAGCAGATTCTGTTGGTGCATCAGCACAAGGATTCGGTAGTTCTTGAGCCACGTCTGCTCGGCTACATTCCAGAAACACCAATGCTATCGATAACAGGATGACTTCCATAATTAGATTAAATAATCGCAGTTATAGCGAGATCAACTCTGTTATTAATCTACAGTAGAGATTAGATTACTTAATCTTTCCTCAAACTGACAAATCTATACCAGCTCGATGCACACTTTAGAATGGAATAAATCTGTTTCTGAAAATTAAAGCTTTTTCCAAGAGCAGCGATGAGTTGAAGATTACTCGTAATACGGAATAACAAGTTACCCACGCGGTTGCTTGATAAAGACTAACAAGCTCAAAAATTCGGTGGTACAAATGTTGCTGAATATATATTGTAATGAAATAAAATGTTCGCTGAACTAGTGTGGTGTATGCCTGCTGCACACTTACGTATTCCCTAGGCAAAACCAGTGCTGTTACGAGGACGCGGTATTCGTAGTTACATTGTTACTCTTAAACCGTCACTACTTTTCAGAAAAAAACATTTGATTCTTTCTCCTTTCATCTTCATCAATTCCTCAACAATTTCCAACTCTTTCTCCTATGATTACTTTTACTTGTTGTCTTCACTTGCTCCAATCACTTTCAGAGTTTTTCTTACTTCCCAATAAACTTATCATATCCTGAACAACAGTCAGAAATTTGACATCAATCTTCGAATAAGAAATCACTTTCCTATTTACAGCATTTTGCGCTTCGCTGTAAAAATTGTGATTAAATTAATTTCCTAACTGTCATTTAGTGTGTTAAACACAAAATGCGCCACGCTGATTACAAGTGGTAGAAACGATACTCAACGCACTAATATGACTTTATTATGACACAATTTACATTATGTTTCATATATAACAATATCAAAAGTTTCTGAGTTTTCTTGTTAAAAACAAGGCATATTACCCGTCTCAAAAAAAGGCAAGTTAAAACTTGCTTTTTAGCAAAATATGAATATAATACAAAAACAATGCTACTTAATAATAACACCTGAAAAGTCCATTTGAGGTTATGACTCGAAAATGTGTAGTCGAGCATAATGTGTACAGAAAGAAAAAATCTTTCGTTCTTCTTTAGTAAAAAAATATTTCACAGATAGAAAAAAATTGCCTATAAATTTTTTACTATTGCCTATGAATTTCCTTCATTTTTACAGCAAGAAACAAATCATAACACTATTTTTCATTTGTAACAAGTTTTCCAAATAGATTAGTTTCAAAAAACTTTACTCTGGAGATGAAGATATATTTTTTGGCTGAAATTTTGCAACTCCACTTCTAATTCGAGCGCTGTCAATTACTACCAATAACTGTTTACAGTTAAATGCCAAACGATGAGTTATTTTTAGCACTTTTCTCTGTAACGATGCATGATATGTCTGAAATTAAGATGTAATGAAATACACAATGAATCATAGTTTACAGATTATTAATATAAAATGCAACATCTTAATAACACAAAAACAAGACGACTTATGTAACTATATAATATTAAAAACAAATTTTTACTAACTCTGCTATTATCCTCATCCGAAAGCTGTCTCAGTGCTTCAGATAAATTACGCAGATCTGACTCTAGAAGTACGCCGACTAGCTTAACCTCGTCTTGATCAGAAACATTTAATGTCGGTATAGTAAGAGAAAATTCTTTCAATAAATTTTCCAGTTCAGAGATAATAACCTATAATATAAATACATCACATCAACATTGAATTCAACAATTCTATTTCATCATTCATATAAAAAACTACTATAATTTTAAATTAAAATGAATGAAGACAAATTCTCATCTTAATATGCTTCTAATCTCAAAATATTACTTGATGCTTCAATGCAATAAAGCTTCTAATTTTCATTTTAATAAAAAGGGAAAAGATGTGTAATATTTTATGACGGCGAACTTGGTAAGCAGATGCTCGATCTTGCACAAGCAACACATGCTTATAGACAAATAATGAAATAGAACTAAATTTTTATCTTCAATATTAGTCATGACTATTAGTCCATAATTTCTAAAATGTTCTAGAAAGAAATACTAAATGAGACTACACATACTTTAATTGATTTGCTGAATTCACCAATTGTCAGCGATGCTTGAAACTTTTTTGACAAATAAGTTATTGATCCAACCACTGTAAAAATGGCTTTATTTACTGGGTCATCGCGTCGGTCAATTTGATAACACGAAGGTATGTCATCATGTTTGCTTAATAAAGGTTGTTTCTTGGAGAGTAATTCAACATGCTGAGCACGAATAGTTGACAAAGCTGGCAGAGGCAACTGAAAATGAGATTACAAACTGACTCTCATTTTGAGAGAATTTCTCTACAGTACACAATGATTGTTAATGAAAAATGTGAGGATTACTCATTAAAATTCTTAAATGTACATCACTTCAGATGGTTTAAGTTATAAAATTAAAGCTAAAGATTGCTTTACCTACCGATTACTTTTACTTAATCTGGAACATTTCAGAAAATGTTAAAGATTATTAATCTTGTTTCAGTTCTAATTTCATTCTCTATATGCAACACACACTTCATGCTTACAATAATTAATAATAATAGTTGTAACAATAAAGATTAACGTTCTGTGATTGATGTTTATACCACTTCATTTTATCTAAAAAAATTATATGAAAACTTTCGAAACACTGTGAGAAATAAATCATATTTGAGCATGTAAATAAAGATTTTATTGCAAATTACAAGCTTTTCTTCCTCTTCTTCAAGCCATCTGTCATCTTCCTCCGATTGTATCCTTTGCTGCTCCAATGTACGCCATAGCGTTGATGTCGGCATCGTTTCAGAGTCAACCTCTAACACCGGTGCTACCTTAATAGCAAAATATGAACATTCACGACTAAAACTGTTGAATTTTCATAAGCTGATTGGATTCAGCACACTTTTTGTTGAATGACTTTTTATGCACAGGACTATAATTTATTACATAAGAAATCATCCACGAGAAAATAATGTTTCAAACAAGAACGAAATTAGAGAGTAGAAAGGATACCTTTAGAAAACTATTATTTTGGTTTTCATCATCACCAACAGTGTTAACTTCCTGTAAAGCATTATACAAATGTTATTTACACATTACGAGAATAAGATAAGATTGAAAGTTATTAAGCATACATTATATGAAGGTGCAGTGAGTGATTCGTAAGGAAGATGTAAATCTATTTGATCCAACAGAGAACTAAGATAACGATTGACTTCAAACATTGATGGTCGTTCTGATGGTTCGAAATTCCACATACGCCTTGAAAAGAAGTATGCTTGAATATAAATTAAACAGTTTCCAAAGTAATTAAAAGCAATAGTAGACAGATTTCTGTCTGAAAAACTAACAACATCAATTCGTACAGCACTCGAGGACAACCACTAGGCTTTTGAAGACGTTCACCCATTTCAATTTGCATTACGATGTCCTGGTTCCGAACGCCTTGCCACGGTTTCATACCAAACATAAGTATTTCCCATAAACAAACACCTAAAACTTGCGGCAAGCAAGAAATTATCAAGTCCTAAAATCGCTTTTTTCATTTAGGTAGCTGAATTTAAAAGTTTCGAAATAATATGCAAACTTTTCTGCTACATGAATCTTATTATGTGATTAAGACTACTTTCATTACATTGTGATGGAATCAGTACATGAAAGAAATTTCTTCCTGATCAATTACAAACCAGTAGTTTTTTTTAATGTCTTAGGAAGGCAAAACAAAAAAAATTGTGCCAGATTTTGAAAATAAAAGAAAACAATAGCATGCACTGCTATTAAGTTTAAAACCAAACCAAACATCCAGACATCTGTAGCAGTACTAAAACGCCGATAATTAATTGATTCTGGGGCCATCCATTTTATTGGAAGCTTGCCTTGTGATGCTAAAAATATTTCAAATTGTGCACCAAGTTTTGGAACCAACATTTGTGAATTTTGTTGCACTACTTTTTGTCAAAGACCACAATATTAACAGAAGCAAAATATAAACTGAATGACTCGTGTAACATTAAAACCATTCTCAGTATTAAAAGATCAGACACGGAAGTAAAAATCAAATTGATATTTTTAAGGCCGAAAGCCAAGAAAAGAAAGCCTTATTTCGTCTAGGCATGTACAAACTGATACTAACCAGTATAAAAGTTTTCGTCTTGGACACATCGACTCAAACCAAAATCAGACAACTTCACACAACGTGGCGATGATACAAGTACATTACGAGCGGCTATGTCACGATGTACATATTTGCATGAATGCAGATAAAAAATGGCAGAACTGAGTTGCTCACTGAACAGAAGCTGTATTGATAAGTCAACTGTTTCGCAATTACATATCAAATACTGGCGAAGCTACAACAATACCATTTTATCAATTGGCAAACAGTATTAAACTTATCTCAAAATGCATCACAACTTTCAACAATAATGTAATGCAATTTGAATAAGAGTCATATCACTTACTTATATATTTTTTAAAGATTAATTACAATTAAACTTTAGTAAACTAGCTAACTTCGCCGAAAGGAGCTAATTCCATAACAATCCAAACTGGCATTTCTACACAAATCCCTATCAGTGCAATAATATGTTGGTGATGAAACCGATTCATTGTGACTGAAATAATGCTTCTAAACGAAAAAAAATAAACATCAAGATGCAAAATTGGTGTTGTAAGATGATCAATCAATTTTTAAATTCAGTACATTATTTCTATTCTTCAAATATAAAACTTGAAGAATAGAAATAATATAAATAAAACATCAATTTCGCTTTCATCAAACTTAGTTATAAGGTTGAAATCACTTCAAAACTCTACAAGCTTCTTCAACAAAATTGTGTCTGCCAACGATCTCATTATCAATTTTGCAGACCTTTATGGCAACTGCATCCACTTCATTATCCTGAAACAGTGGATATTAGATAAGTGACAGTAAATTACATTTAGAAAACATAACAGAAACTTCAAACTTCGTTCGTAAATGTTCCTTTGTAAACGTTGCCAAACTGACCGTCTCCCAACAATTCTTCCAATGTTATTTGTGAACGATTTATACAAACCTTGTTTATAACTGAAATCGTCATAAACTGAAGATATGTTGTGACTTCGCAATGATTTGTGACAGAAATTTAAGGAAAAATTACCATTCAAAGTTAACTCATCATTGGTGCAGGAAAAATTTTTAACTTTCATTTTGAATCCATCCGCAACATCTGAAATTTATTTCAAGGCACGATAAAGACATAATAACGTTTATTGTATTGAGGAAAAGAAAAATGTCAGAAATTTTCCTGTAAAATATGTACTGTATATCTGCTTGTGAAAAGTAGAAATACGAAAAAGTCTCCAAGAAGAAAGAAATTTTTCTTTCTCTTTAGCGACTTGTTAAATACATTTAATTCATATAAATTATAAGACTGAATAATATTTTCACTGGATGGAGCCCAAATAGATCCTTGTTGCAACAATATGTGATAACCGTCAATTAGATGCGCTAAAGATTCAGCCATCGACCACGTTGGCAGAATAATATTCTAAAAAACCATAAATTAATTTATCGTAACTGAAAATTGAAGCTATCAAAATTTCTAACAAAACTAGTTTTCACTTAGCACAAGTGAACAACAATAAATGGTAGAAATGGATACCAGATGCTGGGTACTTCCACTGATTTTCAAACTAACTATCGTTTTCTGGGACATATTGTCTGATTTTGACAGAACCAAACTACTGACGTGTTGCAGTTGCGCTAACAGTGTAGGCTAAAATAAAAATATGAAAAAGTTAGATTAACTATTTATTTTGCCATAGAGGCTATACAAATACAACATACCATCGACTATGTAATAGAATCAGTTTTAACCATATATCACAATGAAAGTCTGATATAAGTATAAATAAAACTCATTAAACCTCGCAACGGCCATCTACAACGTAAGAGATTCCTACAACCATTCCAACCATAACATCTAGTGGATACTTCCATACCATCTAAAAATAATAATTTTTGAGGGACATACTTCTTGATTAGTTTAATTTCCTGAATAAAAACAATAGAAAAATTTACTAGACCTAGCAAAATCGAACCAACTTTCAGATTTCAATAAATACAACGAAATGAAACATACACCCAAAGAAGCTTTGAATATTTCAATATCAAACTGCGTAATACGTTTGACAATCTCCAGAAAACGAAAAATACATTCTACGGAGGTAAGAGGTATATGCCTTTTTACAGCAGCAACCAACGCTTTCCTCAACTGTTTTGACTTAAAAGAGAACATTATAAAAATGAGTTTTGTGGAAGAAAGATATTGAAGCCATAATGTTCTGTCAATGTTGTTTCTGAAGAAAGAGTTCAGTTATTTCCATTATTATCGTAGGCATTCTGATCCCAGTAAAAGCAATAAACGCAAAAGATTATGGTTGATCGTAAGATTTTGTTTGAAATTAAAGAAGCAAATTAAGCTTACTTTCAACTTTGCAAGCATAGCTTGTGGTAGTAAGCGTGAGAGAGTTCCACCAGCTTCGAGTTCATCCAAATTAATAAACTTTTCGACAGCACACCTGATAAATACACTATACCATAAATTTTTAACAAATTCTCATCTCAATAAAAATTTTTGAAACAATAATGGAAAAAATTACTGACATATTTTGACTTCCAAGCTCTTTACGTATTTGTAATGCAGCTAATTCCATTGCTGTTTCTTCAGGAACTTTCCACGATATCTGTAACGAAAAAATTGAATCTGAAAGACGAAAATAAATAAATCTGATAATGCATTAAAATTTGAGTTAATCATATAATATTACCACTGCAAAAACTGTGCATAAAACTTTCAAAAAAGGAATGATTTTATTGGAGTGAATAATTATTTCAACAAGCAAAAAGAAGAAAAAAGTAACAGAAAAAAAAACAAATTTTTCAAGCCTAAAAAATTATGTTTTCCAAATCCTAACCTGAGTTAAATAATCAGCTAAAACTTGTTCATGCAAAAACATGAATGCATCCAACTGTGTTTGGTACATTTCTTGAAGATCTTTTGGTATGAATCGTATGCGCAACTCAAACCTTTCATGAAATTTAAAAAATAAAATTTTCATATAACGTTAAAAAAAATATGAATGCCATCAAGCAAGAAAATATCATTATATTAAAACTAAATTTATGAATTAAATTTAGCAAGATCAAGAAGATGGAATCCTCTAATAAATCAAACATCTTTCTTATCAACTATGATGGTCGATGTATTTAGGTCAGTAATAGAAGTCTAAATTATTTACCGGTAATGGTCCAAGCAATTATTATATCCCTTTATACCAAAGATAAAAAATTTATAAAACATTCCATAAATCATATATAATTTACCGCTGCTGAGTGGGATTAGACTGGTTACTGAAAAATTTGTCGTATACATCACGCATTGTAAGACTTGAATGTAACCACTGACAATCATCATTTTTGCTACATGTTGACCCGATTGATATCTGTTTCAATCGCAAAGCAAAATGTTTAAAAGACACACGATAAATGCCTACAGATGACAATACCACACAGATAACTTTCTGAAATAATTATGAGGATAAAATGAAACACTGAATAATAAATACAACTACAATCTTCAGAGCAGTAACTTTAATATAGTAGCATAGTTGCCGTTATTAGCTAAAATTAGTATTGTTTTCAATGTTGCAGTACGTTATTAAGGAATTGATACGATTTATATGAAGATATTTTTTACGTCGATTCTCTAATATAGAGATGAGGACTGAGTCATTACAATACAAAGTAAAACAAAACTGCATTTATCAAAAATTGATATTTCAACAAATTCGCACAAACTTCTTAAATCAACACTAATGAAAGTTCGAAATATAACCTGAACTTTTGTTTGGAAATCAAAGCGGACACTTTTTGCGGTTCCGTTTGGCAAATGAACCAATATGATGTCCGTTTCATTCATGGCAGCAGAATATAATTTCGCTTACTACGCTTGTTGCCACTAAATGAATGGACGACCGCAGGCTCTATGACCATCCACCAGTGGATTAAAGGATTTCTAACCGACCGCAGATGCTTTCTACAAATAATAAATTATTTCATACACAAAATGTTTCATTTAATCACAATGGCTGAAAAAGTGTGCGAAAGAAAGAAAGCTTTCCAAGCATAAGATTCAGTTCAAGAAACAAGAACGGCTTTCTTTCAACCACTGCATACACTAAGCACTAACAGCTGATCATTATTGATTGATTGCTAGACAAACATTCTTAATCAAAGTTCAAATGTGATCAGTTCCTTCGCGATATTCAGAGTCATCTTCATCAATTAACACACAAGCGTTACTTTGCTGTTCTCGCCAGTACCTAATGCAAGCAGATGAAACCTTCAAAATATATTATATTCACAACGATTTCCTTCCTGTTAGCAAACAGTTCATTACTTGGAAGAGAAGGTGAATTCCAGTGAATGAAAATAAATAAGTGTCTAACAAAGTCATGAAGACAAATAAAATTAAACATTATACGTGCATAAAAGAGAAAACAAAGGCATGCAAAGACCAAATCACTTCTTAAGTGAGCAAAAATTAAATGAACGGAGTTTAGTCCGAGGAAGCAAATATCAGTCAAACGATCACAGGTCAAGTCCATTAGATTATAAATCAACTGCGGGTCGCGATCAACTAAAAAACAATTGTAAATATAGTAGTGATTTTTTACCACAATTATTTAATTATATTTAACAACTAAGTCTGAATCGTTATCGTGATACCTAAAATCTCTTATTTGCCTTAATTCACAGCTACAAAAAAATTAAAGTTCCTGAACATAAAGCATTACTTTGCTACCACACATTACGTAGCAAAGAATACGTTTTACGAGAAATCAATTTGGCCGTAATCACAAACGAAACTCAGCCTCGTATAACAAAGAAAGAAGCTATTAGTCTAGACAAATCCGTTCATCTGGTTTCACGTAAAAGCACAAATGAAACACGTAGACAGACGAGAACCACACATTAATATTCAAGCAATGAATTCAATTTAGTTAGCGTTTTGAAAATAAACAATTTCTCGCAGTTTGAAAAATCGCCGTTTTTCCTGCAAAAGGGTTGAAAGATCGATCATTGAACAAGAGAGTGGAGAGAGAAATTCCCTTCACAACTGATATTGGCCGTGTCTCCCTCGTTTGGTACGGGCTGGGGTCAGTGGGTCAGTGCGGGTACCGATTTGTGTCGGCTGATTTGTGTCGGTTTGCTTTGCTTTAGACTAACCCGCTTCTCATGTGATCCATTGTTGCCCAGCCACAGTTATTCTCCTGCTAGAGTATTTTTAATTTTTTGTTCACAAAAGTTTTTTTTCGATTTGAAATTTTTAGAAAGTGGATATTTCCTATGTTTTTAAATCTAAGTTCGCTTTCAGATGGGAGAGTACTTCTTCAACATCAATCACGGCTATTTGGAAGGTTTGGTTCGAGGATTTAAGGAAGGTATTCTTACTCAAACTGACTATGCCAATCTCGTCCAGTGTGAAACTCTCGAAGGTTAATTTTGCCAAGCTTTTTTTATTTAATTTTTCCTTTCTATGAGAGACAGTGCTTAAATTATTCCATACTGTAAGCGTGGCAGTTTCAATTGTAAACATTTTTTCACTACTTTATACCTTGTTTTAGTATTCAGATATTACTGATGACATTCTGTTTTGTACGTGTATGCAGGGAACTTTGAGAGAATACAGTTAAACTTCTAGCGTAGTTGCGGTGGTGGTGTGGTACAGTAGTAGATGCTTGATGCAGAGCTAAAAAACATGTTACCCAAAAAATTATATAAGGAAAAGATGAAAGTTGATTATGCCACATCACTGTTAGACGTTTAATGGATATCTTCTCAGACAGGAAAGGCAGCTGAGAAGCGAAACATATTTACATATGACGGAAAGCAAAATTGAGGTCAACAAATGTGTTTGGCGATGTAAATGTAACTAACAAAGTATATCACATCTTTAAGCATACAAGATCAGATCTGCCTAAAAAAAGAATGCAATCTTGAGCAAAAATTTGTATCATTGTTGGAAATTGTAGCTTAGAAACGATTTCAGTATTTCGTTGCTGAAATTTGCATTATGAATTGAGTGTTGTCATCTTTGGCGAAAGACTTCTCCCCATACTTATTTTTTCTGTATGAAATAAAACGTAGCAAATTTCCAGATCTAAAGCTTCACATTCAATCAACGGATTATGGAAATTTTTTGGCCAACGAACCTACTTCAATAACTGTACAAGTACGCTTTTTTACTACCAAAAAATGCCTTAGTGCAATTACTTCAATTTTGATATCATGCAACTTTTAGTTTTGTACTCAAATTATTCAGGTCATTGATGAACGCTTAAAAGAAAAACTGGTCACAGAATTTACACATTTTCGAAATAATGCCCTCGAACCACTGTCTACTTTCTTGGATTATATAACGTAAGTCACCTTTCTGCACATTAATCGCTTTACTTTGGTCCTGTCATTTATCTTTCTTTAACTTCATAATTTCTCTATAAACCTTTAAATTTCTAGCATTTTAAATTTAGATACTCTTATATGATTGATAACATCATTTTGCTGATAACGGGGACTCTACATCAACGTCCAATAAATGAGCTTATTTCCAAGTGTCATCCTCTTGGCTCATTTGAGCAGATGGAAGCTATTCATATTGCTTCAACACCAGCAGAACTTTATAATGCTGTACTTGTCGATACTCCTTTAGGTATTTATATGAAGTTAAATGAAAATGCTGTTGTAAGGAACCGTTTAGACCCGAAGTTTTGTGTACTTTCAACTTACCAGAACTGGTGACCCGAATTTTTCATGTTATTATACTTGCAGCACCGTATTTCGTTGACTGCATCAATGAACAAGATCTGGATGAAATGAATGTCGAAATAATTCGTAATACTCTGTACCGCGCTTACCTGGAAGACTTCTACAAGTTTTGTAAAAACTTAGGCGGAAAGACAGCTGAAGTTATGAGTGAAATTCTTGCGGTATCTTTTATTGATTACATCCAATAATTATGTTGGGATTGCTATACATACTAATATTTTGCGTATCTAAGCCACTGATAAAATATTTTCAGTGTTGACACTTTGCTATTTAATTCTTTTTATTTAGCAGTTTATGTACTGAAGTACTGAATTTTTAAGTTAGTATTCGAGGTGTTTGAAGTGAGCATATTTTCACTACAAGAACAAGCGTAATTTCCAGTTTGAAGCCGATCGACGTGCTATTATAATAACAATAAATAGTTTTGATACTGAACTGTCTAAAGATGATCGGGCCAAGCTCTATCCACGATGTGGAAAACTTCATCCTGAAGGTGTTTTATTTATTTTTTATTACTAAAGAATAGTTTATTAAAGCTTTCAATGTCTAATCTTTTTACAGGCCTAGCTGGATTATCAAAAGCGGATGATTATGAGCAAGTTAAACAAGTATGCGAGTACTATTCAGATTATCGTGCTCTGTTTGAAGGATCTGGTTTACAACCAGGCGAGAAAGCTCTCGAAGACAGGTTCTTAGAATATGAAGTGGGTTAGCTGTGAAATTTGACTTCTATTTTTAAAAGCAATAAATTAAATTTTTGATAACTCAATAAAAAATGTGAGTTATCCAGAATTTAGTTTTTAATCATAAAATCATGACACTTTGCTATTTAATTCTTTTTATTTAGCAGTTTATGTACTGAAGTACTGAATTTTAATTTATGATGAAAATTTTTTACAAATAATATTTGTTATCAATCTTTATAGAAAAGCATATTGTAAACAATAGAGAAACGGACGAGTTTATCTTACTGTGGGCATCCTCTCCAGTATGCTAGTTACCAGAATGCGTAAATAGTACACAAAAAACGTCTAAATCTCTTAATATTTCCAGGTCAAGCTGAACGTCTTATCATTTCTGCACCAGTTCCATTTTGGTATATTTTATGCATTCATCAAGCTGAAAGAACAAGAAATAAGAAATATTATTTGGATCGCTGAATGTATATCACAAAGGCATCGTGCTAAGATTGATAACTACATTCCAATCTTGTAAAGTTTTATGTATCATAAGAGGATCCTTTAGTGTCGTTACTCTTCCAGTCCGCACAATGACTCATTGTTCCACAACTCCTTCTTAAAACTTCTTTCACGTTAACTATTCTGGTGTAGTTGGTGTTACACTTCTAGTCTTTGGCAAAACTTCCTTCTCTCTTGTAAACATTTTCCGATGACTGCTTAGTTATGTGATAGTACAACCATAAATTTTTATTCAACTGGTGATCAGTTAAAAAACATAGTTTGCTGCACTTCCATCAATGTAATGAATCTACTATTTGCTTTTCAAATATTCGTGTAGGGCTACATAACTGCGTAATAAAGAAAATGTAGGAATTTTGTTCAGATATTGCATGAGCTGGCAAAAGTGGTATCCTAAACAGTCACATCTGTAAAGACCAAATTCGCATTTTTTTAATGTCCGAATTGTGGGGACAAAGTTCTGCAATGCAATCCAATGGTCTCTCTTTGATATAAACGGTAAACGATGACTGGACTGTACTTCAGAATCATGTGCCATGAATAAATAATAGTGAGATATGTAACATCTGCAAACAAATCAGGTAGCTAGGAGTTGCCCTGAACTACCGCTTGGAATTCTGAGCCCAAACCTTTCTAAATTGCTGTTAAAAACAAAGAGTAATTATCGAATACTTTATTGAAAAAGAACGAGTCCCCCACAGCAACAACAACAATACTGCATCATTTAAGCGGGATGAATCGAGAGGAGTGAGTCGCACCGATACCTGGTCGTCCGTGTTTCACAGGCTTATAAGTAATAGCGAATTCCCCCAAATAGTAGCCTATCATTTCTGGTTTGATTTCAACCTGTAATTATAATTAACAGGCTTTCAAATTTTGGTATATTTATACAAGGCATGAAGATAAGTGCGAAAAATATGTTGTTCTTATTGAAGTCAACAAATGACAAAGATTAAAGGTATGAAATGAATGTGCTACTACAATTTGAGCTTCAAAAGCGAATCTGTTCGAAGCAGGTTTTCGCATAGTATTATGATTTAGCACAGTCAAGAAAAATATCATACAACGGAAACGCATGACATAGAGTGCACTGTGCCTATACAACAAAACTTTCATTTTCAAACATATTACACTTCTGCAAAAATATTCTTCGGGACAATTTAAATGCATTCTAAACTATTAAATGTTAGACACCAAAATTTCTTTGGAACCACCAAATTAAGATATTTGCATGATGCAGGAAGTATATATTGTATTTTCGAAAGAAAAATACTGTTAAATTTCGCGAATAGAATTAACTAACAGAGCTCAAATTTTGAAAATACTTTTTCTATTCCAAATTTTCTCCTGCTCATGAAAAAATACTGATCTCTGTTGAGCATGAAAAATCCTAAAGCCTACCTGATTGAAAACTTTTCCATTATATACTCCAACCACTGATCCAACCATTTCAGGTAGCACAATCATATCACGTAAATGCGTCTTAACTGTAGCTGGCTTTTCGTGCAAACCAGCTTCTTTTTTTGCTCTCCTTAGGCGACTGAGAAATGTCAAATGTTTCCGCTTCAAACCACGAGATAAACGTCTACGCGCACGACATGGCAACATTTTTGCCAACTGATCTCTAAAAACACCATTTATTACCAACCAACTGGCCATGACACTGCTCGACCAGTTAAAATTCCAAGGATAAACTAACCGACTCATATCTAACAGTTGATCCAAATCGACTCCACGATAAGTAAACTTCTTGAAAGTTCGTTTCTTTTTTAGTTCAGCAGCAGCCACTTCATCTTTTGCAAGAGACATGTCTACAACATAACATAATTCAAAATAAATAAAGTTTTATTTCTACTCTTTCCTTTGTTACTGTCGCACACACTAAATGCAGAAATAGATGAAAATACTGCTTCTTAATCTACATATTAGAGTGATAGGGGATTACAGCACGTCGCAACAAATTATAGCGCGATCTCTACTCTGTCCTCCCAGTCCATGAGTAGAAACTCCTCTCTTCCTGAACATTAAGTATACATTCCATTCCGAACACTGCACATACCGCACTCCACAAAGTATGCAGTGCTTGACAGAACTCAAAAAGGAACAAAAATATTTAATTCGTACAAAATGTTATAAAATGTCGTTCAGTTATTTAGCCTTTTATAAAACAAAGACAAACATCTACACATCAACCAAGCCAACTCACCTGCGATGCAATTGCAAACGATTGAAACGAACAAGCTCACTCCTAAACACACTTGGTTTATTTTGCAGGCAAACCATATCAAAATCACACACTATCCGCCCAAATTTCTCGATGAAATTGCACGTCTCGTTCAGTCTGAAGGTAGTAGAAATTTAGCGTTGTTAATCGATGCAAAGAGGGAAGAATCAAATGTCTGTGGGAAGTTCGATAGAGCTAAGGCTGTTCAGTTCGGTCTTTGCTTTTGAAATAGTTTCAGAGTCTGAATTTCATTGCACTGTGTTGAATATAGACAATGCATTTAGTCAGCAGAAGCATAAACTAAGGCAAAATTTAAGCGTAAAAGTTCTAAGCGTGAAAGTGCTGCGAAAGAAATTGCAAAGAAGTAGAAGTGATATTAAAATTGCATCAGTTGGGTCTTGTAGACTACTCATTCAACTCTTGTCCTCTTGCTGCAGCAATAAACTGACCAGTCGATTCTTTTCTCTAATATAAGTCTCATTGTCATTCCACGCAGTCAAAACTTCTTAAGGGGTGTTTTTGCTCACAGAATTAGCACTTACTTACTGATTACTTTCTGCTCTGTTCTTTGTGTGCACTGTCAAGATGAATGACGCCGAATCTGAAGTTAAGTATGGAGTTCATTTCTGCAATCATTCCTTATCAGTTCTGACTTGATCGCTTATATTCATGCAAGTTTATATTTGCACTCACTCATTCCAATGGCTTCATTTCTGTCTCCATATCTGTGTTCCTTCTCCTTCCTCTTTTATAACCTGTACTTACCTGTGGGGCGATTATCAGAGGCTTAAGTTGCGAGTCACTGTCACTTTTCTATCGGATGGATATAAGGGAGTATTTTCTTGGATTAAATGTGTTGGAAATTCTCGCTAATTAATTAAGCATGATTGGTCTTATTATGGTTCCCTTCCCGAAGTATCTATGAACTCGTTGGTGCTTTAGTTATAAAATTTTTGGTTGTTGTGCGACGTTATAACTCTCCTTAGTAGAATCTGTTCTTCGTGCACGTTGAATCTTGCCGCGGAGTTCAATTCGACGTTGCAGTCCACATCGTTTCTTATTTTTGATCATTTTCGCTTTTCGCCATGACTATTTTCTTAATTTTAAAATTAACCAAAATTATCTAATATTAAAGCTGTCATATTAAGCATTAAAAAGAAAATAGAGAATGTTTATTTAATTATTCGCGGCACAAAGAGAATATCGCAGACATATTTGTCATCAAGCGAAGGGAGGATATAATGATAATGATCATTTGCTCCATTATGATTTAATCGAGCAAATGAACACTCATTTAGCACACTTTTCTATTTTGTAACTTTAAATAAGTGTCTAAAGTATTGCAAAGTAGTATTCGCGGATTAGAATATTGCATATAGTCTTGCCGCTTATGATAATTCATCTCGAACAATATTGCCTTCAAATTTGAATATTCTAACGTGTGGTTGCTAATTCTTTCTATTTATAAGTCGCATAATCTAAGCGATTTCCACTGAAAGCAGTTGCTTGCATGCTTTCTCAGTAGATTTCATTTCAGGCTGAGAGCTGTGCTTCTCACAGTCAGTAATTATTATCTTAACAATAAAGCAGTTATTGCGTTATATATCTATCTGTCATTTTTTTCGGCAGAACAAAATCAAAAACTTGCTGAAATAATACTATCCACATCGTCAGCAATCAAATTTGTATTTGTTCTTAATTGTCGCATCATTTTATATCTCATTTATCCTGAGTGACTTTATTAATTATTATTATTATTATTATTATTATTGTTATTATCATTATCATTATTACTATTATCATTATCATTATTATTACTATTATTATAATATGATGAGTCAGTAAACTGATGATTCAACAAAGATAGTAGTATTAAATGATTATTTTTATTGCAGGAGCATTTTTTATCATTCGTTCGTTAACACACCCAGTAAACTTCCGTCGTTCTCTATTTACTTTCAGACTTTTTCTGCGAAAGTGAAAATCTTTTCAGAATTTAAAATTGTGAGAGAAAATTGGTAAATAGTTTTACTTTATTATCTACGGAAATAGAAGCGCTTTCTTGTGTGTATTACACTGAACAAATTTTCATTAGTACAGACTGAGTTCGATAACTGAGCGCTCACACGAACACCTCGAATGGCTGCTTATTTGCATAAGCTATTAATGAATTCTTTTTAGCGTCGATTGAGTAAATGCTTACATAGCATACTTGTTAATCTCAGAATCTTTGATAAAAATGCTGCCATGGTGGAGACAAATGCAGTTGTTGATGTGGAAAAGTATACTAATCAGAAAAAGGCAAAAAGTAAATTTTGAAAGGTTTTGCATTTTGTGAATTAATCTCGGTTTCTTCTTATGTCGGTTCACGATTTGGATCTTCGCAAGTATTAACATTTTATGGTATTTTTGGTACCTGTGAGAAGCAAAGTAGTGCATAGAGGTTTTGTTGGTTCAAGTAAATTGTTGATTATTGAAATAGAGAGAAAGCATTGCTATTTGGGAAGGAAAACAATGAATATTAGTTACAGAAGAATGGATCATCGAAGATGCTGTTATTAATTCCAGTAAATATGATATATAGAAATAATAAGTCATTATGAGGAAGAAACTAATTTAAGAACTGGAGATAATTATTCTTTGAAATTTTCATCTATTCATTGACAAATATAAATATGAACCTGTTTCTCTCAAACAATATAAATCCAAAAATTCAGAGTAATTTACATGTCTGCACTCGAACTGAGTAATGGATTCAAGATTTATGCTTACTATTTAGATTTGGCTAGCCCTTGAATTGATCATACCGATTCTTCTATTTGGTATACTTGTGTTCGTAAGGACAAGAAACTTCACAGAAGCATACCCACTCTGTTAGTAATATGCAAACATCATTAAAACATAACTTGACTAGTCATCATGCAAAAATACGTACATTAAAGAAATGGGAAGAAGCAGTGTAATTAATTTGAATACAATAAACTTTAAGCAAACCGTTGCTGATTTCATGTACGTTGAATATTTGACTCATTTATTCTCAATGTAGAGTAGCCATTGTTGATATTCTTGGACACGATGACTTAATACGATTTCAATTTGTTAGTGAAAATAGAAAATCCGTTAACTTACATAATATCAATCCATCATTTTGAGTTCACTTGTGGTCAAAATTGAGTTCCAGGTCACTATGATGCAAAGGCTTTTCCATCTGCTGGTTTATTACCATTTTTACAAAGTTATCTATGCTCTCTACGAAATCCTTGTCGCAAAAGTCCAACAACAGGCGATGATACAAACACAATTAATGGCAACATCGCCAGGCAGTCGCTGTAATAATTGTGCATTTCATCGGATTCTCAAACCTTTACTCAGAATCCAGAAATTTTTTTTCGCAAATAATGCTTTGCTTCATTTTTCATTTTGTATGAAACTTTAATTAAATAAAAAAGTGCTTACAGAGTTGTCAAAATCATTAGGATTATGGCTGAAATTTATGCAGCAATAGGTTCAGAGCCAGATAAATGGGCAAACTTATGGAATACGATTATTCGATTGGTTGATATACTTGCGCAGCTAAAATCAGAAGCATTTCAAATGCCCATTCCCGTCAGTTTCTTCTTCAGTTCACGCAATGAATCCGCGAACTTCTTCAAGTCTTTTCATAATATCAGTGATGAGCTGGCAATCGATATGAGTCACGCAAAGATTACTCCACTATACGCTCTAGAGCTTTTCAGAGAGGTCTCAACATTTCATATAATTGTCTAGCTATATAATTCCAAATGAAATTTATTTGATCAGTGAGAAGCGTCGATTCATATTTGTTTGAGAATGTTAAACATATATCCTAAATAATTCATTTTCCAAAACAAAATTTAGCAAAAACATTTAGATTTCGCTTTTAATCAGCAACGAAGGACCATTGTCATTGTTATTTTCCAATAAGAAACTACACACTCTTTGTGATAACAAACTGCGTAAAAAGGGATTAATTCTTGAAGAAGACGTGTCTGATGCGATGTTTCTCTGTGATTTGTCTGTAAGCAGAGTCTTGCAAAACTTTGTTACACACAAAGTTTTGGCTGCAGCAAGTTCTATGCCTTTTAAAATCTTACAAAATGTTAGATTTTAAAATTTTGCTACAATTAAAACTGCAAAATTTTATATTTATGATTGTTCGTAATATAAATTAAATGTTCTCTTTTTCAATTTTATAGTCAATTTTTGAAAAAAATTTAAATAACTATAGTTTATTAATATGTAGACGTGAATGTATGTTTGATTGAGTCTAATCTTTTAATACGATGTTTGATCATTTTCAGTGGCTTCAGATGGTATCAACAAGCGAAAAAATTGTGGAAACAAAAGAATTAGAGCACATTTTCAAGACATTGAACGATTTTCGCAATGATCTGCTAATTGAAGATATGGTTTCAATTGTAGCTGATCTTATCTTCAACAATAGTTTTTCAATTACAAGTGCATTATACTGTGGAAGTGACTGTAAGTACTACTAAAAAGTTATTTCAGCATTCCTGGGCACTTATAGAATTCCTTAGCTTAAAGCTGCTGCTTCATTGCATTTCATGGCTCTTAGCGTAATATTTCCAAGTACTGATTTCAAATCAGTGCTGCTTGTTCGCATTTTTCATTCCTTAATGCAGTAAAGTTCGGGTTTGTAACAGTTAAAATTGCAAAAATTAACTGTTTTTGTAGTTCATTGTAGTTTGCTTAACTTCTTCATGATTCAAATCCTTCTTGTATATTGCTAACATAGTCTTTCTTACTTTCCAGCTATCCTCTGATTCCGATAAGTAATATCTAGGATTACAGCTTTTGATCAGTTGTCAAGGAGCAAAGAATCAATTCCCGAGAGAGGAGCTGCAACATCTGCTTACAGTGATGATCGCAATAAAGTTTATGATTTTCTACGTCACGTAATGCCTCATTCTGAGGATAAACATGATCAAAAAAAGGATTTCTGTGGTACCATTCCGATTCGTTCAGGTACATGCATAATATATTCCTGCATGAAATATGACTTGCTTCTTTTAAAAGTTTTCGGTTGTGTGTGCAACTCGTTGCCGAAACATTCTTACAATATTTGCAGACAACAATTGTTCTTTTTTGGAAGCAGCTGAATTATCTCAACTGATGCCAATCATTAATGGTTATATATTGTTATCGCCAGCTTCTCCCGTAATAACAGATTTCACACGAAAAGTAATTCTTCCAAAGAAATCATTCAATATAATACAGCCTATAAGTGTTTTTCTTCTAAAATTTACGTAGTTTTTGCCCCTTATGCGTTATCAAATGTTCTTATATTGCACATAATCCTGGTTAAAACGATGCTTACAGCTTACCATGATTCCTATTAAAGTGAAGTTACTTTATAATACTGCTGTTTGACAACATTAGTTAATGCTCTTTTCTTGTTTTACTTCTCTTGTTTGCATCCCTCGTGATTTTAGTCAAATTTCGGTCAATAATGCTTTACCTTACTGTTCTTGTAAACTGGTTTTTAGCTATCAAATCCTCTTCGATGGTTTAGTTTATTATACAGCTCAATTGTTGATTTTAATCAGTTGGCGCCACACCTGCAGCTTGCATTATTTAAAAGTAAACTTCATCCAGCATCGAAAGTAATTATACTTAATATGTTTATAATAACTGCGATAAAACTCACTGCAAATCATTTGTTGCATAATTTTGATTTTTAAAAAGTCTAACCTGAAAGTTGTTGATTGAATGAAAGCCATTATTGATCAAATTTTTATTCAGTGGAAAGTATTTTGCAGAATTTTCTTATCATGAAAGGAAAGTACGGAAATGACAATTTCTGTAAATGTAATGAATGGAAATAATTATTTTTGCAGAAGAATTGTCAAAAATGTTTGTTCATATTTAAAATAGTAAGAATGCTTTTAGACAGTGATCGAACTGTTGAAATTATTGGAAAAATCCGGCATTTTACGTAGTGATTGGGCGAAATCTCTCTCATCTACGTTGGAAACGATGTTCAACACGCCAGATGATGACTCGTCTTTGTTTATGCAAATAAAAAGAATATCACTGTATGTGGAGGATATTCTGCAAGTAATTTTTAATGATTAGAAAAAATATTTGCAATAATTTATTTTCGTTTTAAAATTTATGAGCAAAAAAGCATACTTAGCATCAGTTTTCTATTTCACTTCAGTGCTTTACATTCGATCGCTTTTTCATTGTTTCAAACGAAAGTGAACTGGTAAATTGTGCTCAGTGTCTGATGGATTATAATCAATACATGGCTGGTATTGTTATCCTCGGTATTGATCAAAACTCCACAGATTTACCATCTATAGTAACTTACAAAATACGCTATCCACCGAATTATATTGATTGTAAGTCCAATGTATTCATATACTTTACAGGCATTTCTTTCTGAAAGTTGAACAAATTAAAATTTTTGTGCATTTTCAAGTGATTTAATCTAATACTTGATTAATCTACTATGAAGTTTATTAAGAACTGCTCTTTAATTTGTTGTTTAACACGCAAATATTGCTCTTTTTTTTCTAGCAACTAGACAAATAATGGATTCATTTGCCCATCAGAGTTCACGTGACCACTTCTTAGTTGATCTCAAATATCTAACATTTGGATTCAGTTTTCTTCAAGAAGCTGTAGATAGGATCATCATTGAAAATGCTACTGCTCAGGAGTTTGCAACGGGTTTATATGCTCAGCAAGAGCCATATAAATGTTCTTTTATTGATAAGTATGATTCAGAATTATGAATTGGAAAAGTTAATTTTAGTACTCACTTTTCATCTACGTGAATTAGTTACTTAATGATATGCATTATGTCATATGCAAATTAGAACCAGTATGAAGCAAGTACAGGACAAGGGATAATTGAGTAAAAATCATCTTCAGATTTGACATCATGAACTTTCTGGAAATGTTTGTCATTCTATCGTGGATGATTCCATCAGCATTACTTGTTAAGAATATCGTTCATGAGAAGGAAATGAGATTAAAAGAAATGATGCGTATTATGGGTCTTGGAGATTCTATCCACTGGGTTTCATGGAGTCTACAATCATTTTTGCTGTGCTTCATCTCAACTCTTTTCATTTCTCTCCTACTTAAGGTTTTATTTTAATTTTGCTTTTTCTTCCAGATTAGCTTGCTCCTTGAGTTTGTTTCGTAACTGATTGTTGATTAAAATGCGATATTTTTCGCAGATTCCAAATTCGATTTACATCATGTGTTATTTTCGTTATCCACTTTCACTATAGTGGTTTCAGCACAAAAAACAAGTTTTGTTTCTATTTCTTATCAGAATAGTGATTTCTCTTTCCAAAAACTGGAATTCTGTATAGAAAATAAAGAATAATAACCTATTATTCAAATTCTCAGGTTGAAAAGTTTCAACATACATTCATAGTGCAATCAGAATATTTTTTCCATAATCTCGCTGACAACATTAGGACAAATCTCAATTTTAGTATGGCAACCTCCTTCCAGCAACGAAGCTTAGCGTACTGATCGTGTATTTTACACTTTTTTCACTCGCATGCATATCGCAGTGTGTATTCATTTCAACGTTATTTTCAAAAACAAATATCGCATCTGTTTGCACAGCTGGAATTTTTTTCCTTCTTTTTTTCCCATATCAAATATCTGTTCGAATGCAATCTTCAAATTTTGTAACAATTACGGTTAGTACTTGCTGTTAGCCATAAAGTTCTCACTATAGTAGCATAGATGTGGTTATAATTTTTTCTGATTGAGTGAAAAGATAAAATATCCTCCATAAACTCTAATTTTTATGTCAAAGAATATGACTTATCAAAAATTTAATTTTGTCTTTAAGCTATTCTTTCCTCAAACAGCGGTAGCATATGGTCTGGAACTAATTCACTTGGCTGATATTAATTATATGACTAGTTGGTCCGCTATTACTTCTATATATGTTAGAGGTAAGCAGAAACGATAAATTGTAATTAGTTAAAATTATTAAATAGCAATGTATGCTTTCTTCTGCAGTTCTGTTCGTAGTCGTCATGACAGCTTCAGTGGTTTACATCTATTTACTAAATCATACTGCACACTTTAATGTAAAATATTTTTCGAGAGTTATACGTAATGTTTCTCAAATTTTTGCTCATTACTTTATGCGATAATTAAAAGTAACAATTATTTCGGATTCTTTGAAAAAAAAAATCACTGTAGTTTTGAAGAAAATCTGTCACTATTTAATTACAACAGAATATGGCATCACCCTCTCGACAATAATCATTGCGTTTGCATTGGACACATTTATATATGCTATTTTGGCTTGGTATGTTAGTGCAGTATTCCCAGGTAAATGAGCTATTATAATTTCATATCAATGCGCATGTTGTAATCTCATTTAGAAAATAACGATGCAATATTATTATTTTTATTGAACGTTAAGAAAAGTATAGCCATAACAGTTATCAATCAGGTGCTTATGGTGTACCACAACCATTTTATTTTTGCCTTACTTTACGATATTGGCTTGGGGACAAATATATTACACATACGTCTTTGAAATCTTATTCATCTGACATAACATCAGGTAAATCAAGTACTCAGAAAGTTTTTGCATTTAGTAAATTTTGATATTTAAATCCTTAATTTCTTAATAATCATTATTGTGATTCCAAGAAATACAATCATATTTATATTTCCAAAACCGATTATTGAAATAAATATCATTTCTGTTTTTCGTTTTTCTACACAATAAGCTGAGGAATTATAATATGTGAAAATGTTGCAGAAAATTTCGAACAAGAACCAGTAGACTTGAATTTAACAGTTAACATTTGCAATCTTGTGAAGATTTACAATAATGGAATTAAAGCGGTAATTTTGTGCTATTTACCTACTGCTTGAAAATTTCATGATTATTTTTCTTATTTCAACTGGACTAATTAATGATATGTATATTATGTAAATTTTAATGCTGCATTTCAGTTGAATAATTTGAATATTCGATTCTTTGAGTCGGAGATAACTGCTTTTCTGGGTCATAACGGTGCTGGGAAGACGACCACTATGTAAGATTCTTATCTTCGTTTTTTGTGTTGTTTGCTAACTTTCTTGAATTTCAACTTGTGCAATGAAGTTACTTTGTGGTTATGAATAAAGTTTTACAAGGCCACTTTTAGTTCAATTCTGACTGGTTTCACAAAGCCAACATCTGGTAATGTGTTTGTCTATGGCTTGAATCTTAAAACTGACATTCAAACTATACGTAGCTTCATTGGCATATGTCCACAGCATAATATACTCTTTGATAAGTAAGTTCATTTTAATTACAGCCATTTCTTACTTTGTATTTTTATAATTTTAATGTATGTTTGATTGACTTGACGGTGAAGAAAATAGAAGTCCATATGTTATTTAAGATTCAAGTTTTAATACTGATATACATTATAGGAAAATCGGGGGGAGGAAACGTTGTAAGTCGCTTCTGGTGCCAATTTTCAATAAACGTCAAATTTTCTTTTCAGATTAATTTTCGTTTCAGATTAACTGTCGCTGAACAATTACGATTTTATGGTGCTTTGAAAGGTATTCCAAAACACAAGTTAGATTCTGAAGTCTCCAAAACTATTAAAGATCTCGGCTTCAGTGGCTTGGAAAATAAATTTGCAAATTTGCTTTCAGGTTGCATTGTTTCACGTATTTCTTCTTTGGTCGCAATTTCTTCTGACATTTTGTAACCCTGTACTTTTGAGCAGTTTCAATAGAGTAATTTTTTTCCTCTACAATACTGCAAAAATGTACAGTCAAGGTTTGATTTTTACGGAACTTGTTTATAGGTGGAATGAAGCGCAAATTATGCATAGGTATTGCATTAATTGGTGGTTCAAAATTGGTAATTCTTGATGAGCCAACAGCAGGGGTAGATGCTCATTCTCGGAGATTTATTTGGGATATACTAATGAGAAATAAAACAGGTTTGATTATAGTTTTTAACCTACATGACTTGAACCAATAATAGATCGGAATTCAAATCATATATTCATATTTGATCAATTTTATACTACAGTAATTTTAGTGCATCCGTAGTAAACGTTCTACTTCTAATTAAAAAAAGGAAGGAAACGTTGTAGAAATGATGAACACTGAAAAAAAATGAAGTGGATAAAAATATTTTGTTTATAAAGGAAATGTTTGTTGAGAAAACTGTCATTTCATATATCAGTGTTAATTAATTCACTATGTCATTTAGTGTGCAGATGAAAATAAAGTTTTAGGTCGTACAATTATTCTTTCCACACATCATATGGATGAAGCGGATGTACTAGCTGATCGGATTGCTATCATTTCTGAGGGTCAACTCCGAGCTGCAGGCTCATCATTGTTTCTCAAAAAAAAGTTTGGAAATGGACTGCATTTGCATGTTTGGAAAGCATCGGTACTAATTATATTTTCTAATAATATTTTGATTGAATTAAATAAGCTAAACAGTAAATATTTGTGTTTATCATTACAGTGATAAATTTTTTATTTTCTCCACAAATTGAATTGCATCGATTATTTTTCTACCTTAAATGGAAAATTTTGCTAGTAAGCATATATTATGATTTGTATAGAAGTAGTGCATTTGCAGTCTGTTAGTGAAGAATCCGAAAACCCTTTACACAATTTTTTGTTAAAACAAACTGGTGGTCACTGCGTGCTTGCAGAACAGTATGGAAATGAGGAACTTTATCAAATATCAGACAACCTTGGGGCTTCTGATTTGAAAAAGTTTATTTTTTAGAAAAGTTATTTTTTTGAGATTTGTTATTACTATCATTATTCCTATGTAAATACAAAATTTAGCTGAAACCAATGAAACATTTTGCTATATATTTTCTTAAAAAATAGTTTTGATTTCTTATAATCGATGTCATAAATGTTTTCGTTATTTCTTGACTAGAAGGTCAGTAAAATCTTATTATTATGATTATGATTCATCTCAATAATTTTGTTTCTAAAAAAGTATTGGTATGTGCTTGAAAACTGGAATTAAAAGTTTGATTCTCTTACTTTACTTTGTAATTTGTGTTTCAAATTGTACCACATTTTTAGATTGTTTGAGGAGATTGATGCATTAAAAGATGAATTTGGAATCATTAATTATGGTATTACTGCTCCTACGTTACAACAGGTTATTTAAGTACTGAATAGTGTCAACTTATTTATGTTTTTGATCACTTTTCTAACGTAATAAACATATGTTTTGCATAAAAATTAACTTTAACTTGATTGTAGAATTTAATTGACGAAAACATAACCTTATTGTCCAGTAATCGAACCAGTAATTCATCATGTTTAATTTTTTTTCATACAAAAATATTTTAATCAGGAGTCAAGTGATCTGATATACAAGAGGTAATCTGATATATTCCATTGTGAGTCATATTTTTACAACAAAATGACATGTAGGAAGGAAATGAATTTTGGTGGTACTTGATTTTTATAGAAGAATTATATTTCCACTTTGCTGTCTAGTAATTCATTTTAGGTTTTCTTAAAATTAGCACCAAACGAAGAAAGAATTCTTCAGAAGGATCAGCGCAGATTATGGTGTTTAAAAATTTTGAAGAAGCATCATCTGGACGCTAACAATTTGTCCCAGGATTCCGAAAATGTGACACAGATATTATCAGGCATTTTACTTTTACAAGAAACTTTTTTTTAACTGTTGGTAAAAAATATGAATCAGTTGTTTGTTTAAACTGTAGGGGTAAAATCAATTAAGTTTTCACTAGTTATTAAATATGCTACAAAAACTATAATATATCTCAGTAATACTTGAAGTAATGCAATAAAATTTTACTATAATTGTAGTAGCTGCAATAATTATCATTAGGAAAATTGCTATAACTTTGACTCTTGACTAACAACTGTGCGAAATATCCGTTTAATAAGTATGCTATATAACAGTATTAAATTTTCAGTACATAATGCAGCTTAAGTAGACTGTCATTTTAGCAGCAATTTCATATTTTTTATAGTTTATATTCGTCCATGTCTGTCTTCATCTTAAAGTTGCTGAGTTTGTTCCTTGACTGAAATTTTGATATAAAATTCATCCAATCTTTATTAATGCTACTTTTTAGTTTCAATTTACTTGCTTTCCTCGTTTAAAAATAGCAAGAAAGAATTTGTTTATTCTGTAAATTACAAGCAACAAAATGCCAACGGCAGAGAACACTCAAGAAAGTGTCAGAAACTTTCTTTTTGCTCAGATTTATATCAAGTTAAGGATTGCAGAAACTTTCTGTTTTCTAGATCATGGACATCCTGTTGTGACGTACATAAATGACAAAACTCAGTTGAGAAATCAGCAGTTAAAAGCTGCAATAATGAAACGTCTGCACATATCACGACGAAGCATTGTAGTGATGTGTATTGAGGTTCGAGCCTTTTCTTTACAATATTAGGAATTTGCTCTTAATGAGAAGAACCGAAATTTCTAGCTTCATGTTTGATATGAAAAAATAATTTTACTAACTATGACAGCTATTGTACTCTAATGCTGATCATGACTATCATTCGTGATTACAACTATTTATTTTCGACTACACTGCTTACTATTATTTTTACTGTAATCATTATTATTGCATGTCACGAAACTACTTATACACGTCAACTTTTCAAAATAGGATATTTTGATACATCCTCTCTGTCACCTTAAGTCAGTTCAAATACATCTTGGTTTTATTCACATACGTTTTTTCATTTAAAAAGTCGATAAATTATTATGTTATTCTATCAAATATGTGGTATCTTTTCAGATATTGGTACCAATATTTTTGATATTTGCGGCGGAAATATATCGCAAACTTGTTGTTGAACTAAGCATAAGCTATAAACCAGAACCAGAACCTCCTCTGGAACTTGTCAGTGGAATTTATGGAGACTGGACTCTAGGTTATTTCAGGTTTGTCATCATATAAGGAAATTCGTATTAAGTCAGTTCATTTCAGTGAGTTTTTTTCATCAATTTCAATATTTTTTGCGTAACTGTTCTATAAAGATTGTTTTTGATTCAGTCTCGAAAATCAAAATCAAACAACGAGGGGAGAAGAATACCTGAAAGCAATGATGGTATTTCCTGGAACTGATGTTCGCTGCACTGATGACAGTCCTCTCAAGTAACTTCGTTGTTTTCAGAAATTCAGTATGAGAATTTTTTGAAACATTGACTCATGAACTTGATATTAAATATAAATTTCTATTCATTTTTAGTATCAAATTTCAGCCCTGCTTTAGATGGATCGATTTATTCGTGCTATGTTAATGTCAGCTTCTTAACGAATCTCACTCTGCCATCCGCACCAGCTCCTTTCAACGTTCCACAGAAGTAAACATATTTTGTCGTTATCTGTGTGGCACAAATACATTCCAACAATTAAACTGCTTCAGCTTAACTATGTCTTAGAGAATTAGTCACTACTTCTTTATCAGTCAGTATCATAAAATTGATTTTTTGCAAGTTTTACATCTTTTTCAAGTTAGAGAAAAGATTTTCATGCAAATGTAACTTGGAAAATTAAAAATTAAATTATAAGTATTATTATATTATATATATTTGAAAGTTTCTGTAGTGTTTTTTATTTGTTTAAGGCTGCAGTAATTTGCTATTAATTTTTTTCTGGCAGTTAATTTTTTTGTTTAGCTGTGCATCTCCTTTTCAAATGTTCAATGTTCTTAAAAATATATTTATAATAAATCACTCAAATTATGATATGTTATCTTTTCCAGATGTGGCTGTGATTTTACAGGTTGGAACTGTACAGCTGATGATGATTTTAATTACACTTTGCGCAATGTAACACTGCCATCAGCCAATATTTTTTATGACGTTACTTATCGAAATCTTTCGCAGTTTCGATTGCTTACATCAGATTTAGCTATTAAATATCCATTAATGTTAGTTACTTTTCGTTTATGAGTTTAGTGCATTACTAAACCTACATTTCCGTTACCTCTAGATTTTACAGAATTTACTGTAGTCCATGTCATATAAAGTTAAATACTCATTAAAAAGAATATTAAAAATTTTTTCCTCGTATTTATAATGCTTAAAATTTTAATCGAAAAAAATTTGGAAATCTTGAATTTATTTGACATCTGCTCATTGAATCCAACAGTTACAACAGCCAAAAGTTACTAAAATAAATTTAAAAAAAATTGACTTTCAAGTGCAAGTGCTATAGTGGCAAATTAAATCAGTGTACTAATAATTATTATTTAAAAAAGATGGAAAAACTTCAGCACACCAAACATATTTATTCAATTACAATCAAATGATCTCTTTTTGATATTTTGCTGTTTTATAGGACGGGTGGTTGGCAGTTCGCTCAAATCAGTGAAGTAGCGTTTGATGCCGCTAAAACATCTAGTGCTCAGCGTGGGTTCATCGAAACCTGTAAGTTTCAAAAAAAAATACTCAATTTAACAATTTAATGAATGTAGTTAATGACATGTTAAACTGCAGTGTTTGAAATTAAAACTTTCTGTGTCAGCTATCATTTAGATTATAATTCATTTTGGATTACTATTTTTTTATTGCAGTAAATTTCTTGGAAAGTGCATCCAAAGCGTGGAATATCGACTGGCAGCATATTGTGGATAACATTAGCTTTGTGGATAATCGATTCAAACCTGATAATAAAACTTTTAAAGATCTGATTGTGCTTTCTTTAGCAAATATGGATAAAGAAGAAAATACTAAGGTGACTTTCAAATCAATCTATTAAATAATTTTAAGATTTTTTTTTATTTTTTAAGGAGCTTATATGTTTTGAAGCTCTAAAATATTAATTTGCAAACTGCAAACGATCGCAGTTTTCGATTTGTTTAAAAGCCTCACTGGCTCTATTTCAACTTTGAAGAATAACGTTAGTTCTCAAAACCATCTAGCCAATCTCAGGTAATTCAAGGTATCTTTTAGATATGGTACAATAATAAACTATGGGCTTCCTTACCTATTTTCACCAATGCATATCATAATGCTGTCTTACGCTCTGGAAATTCTTATAATCCAGCGAGTATGGGAATTCTTACTTATTCACATCCGATCAATTATACATTGTCATCTTATACAGAAAATGTTCCATTGTAAGTTGTTACAGGAACCTGAAAATAAATAGTCGATGAAGATAAAATTTTGAAAGCAGTTAAAAAAGCACTACAAGTAATTTAAAAACATTACGCATAATGGTGATAACTTGCTATTCTAAGCTATAATTTGTAATCTCTTAAACTAATGAAACTGTTTTATCATTTTGTGTACTCAGAATCATTCTATTGCAATTTGAATTGCAGTCTACCATTATCCACCACTGTTCACGTAATTTTAGTTATGTTTACAGTGTTTCAGACTTAAAATGATGTCTTTTCGCATAATTTTATTGCTTCTTGCGGTTTCACTTATTAGTGCTTCATTTGGCTTACCGCTTGTCGAAGAACGAGTATCACTCAGTAAGCACTTGCAAATGATCTCAGGCTTATCACCACTGATTTACTGGCTTGCTGTTTCTGTATATGATATTGTATGTTTATTATCGCAATTATATTAAGACATCTCAAATATATATTAATTTATTTTGAAAGAAAATTTCAAATTTAGAATATTTATATCTCAGGTGAAAAAAATTTTTAATGTAAAAAAGTTTAAACAAACAGGTCTATATTTTTCTAAATGAGTGGAAACTTTAATGTCCGAATACTTTCTACTCTATTTTAGATAATATTTCTAATAGCTGCTGTCATAATTGTCATTGGTTATATTATCTTGGAAGTGGATCAATTTGCTGTCAGCTTCCTATATTCGGTTGTATTCTTCATTTTGCTCTTTTGCACAGGGTAACGAATTTATTTATAATTATTAATTCATCTATTTGATAAGCAGTTCAGACATGCTGTTTTTATAGAAAGTCCATTATTTTGACTTTGTTTACTCCATATACCACTGAACTTCCAACAATTCTTCGTATTTATTTTCAATTCAGTTATTTCAGACTAACTCTCACATCGCTGACTTATCTGTGTCAGATGATATTTTCCATCCCTTCTTTGGCGTATATCGTTATTGGTGTCGGATTCTTCTTCATTGGTGCAAACTGCACTACAGTTGTGATATTCTTAGAAAGTCAATTGCTGCAGGTAGAAAGATGTAATTAATATGGCAACATAAGATTTTTTCTGTTTTAATTTATGTATTTCAGTGTCTTATCAGTATAAGACAATTTGCTGCTCTTATGTTTGATCTGATTGTCCCGTTTGAATAATTAAATAGCTTTGTTGAGATAAAAATCGCTGGAAATATTAACTTATAGGACAAAGCATTGGTATTAGCTTATGACATCTGTAGTGTTTTGTTTATGGCTCTTCCGCATTACAATTTTGGCATGGCTGTTTATAGACTTAATTTTGTGACCCTTTTACGAATGCAAGGGGAATCATATCTAAGTATGCTTTCATTATCCTTCTCTGTTTTCGATTACAACGTTCCACTATATTTCCAATTCAATTTCCCTGTTAGTTTCTGTTAACAGAATAATTGTTCAACACTTTTCTTCCTATAATCCTTGTTTTTATGCTCAAATACATGGAGTTTATTACGAATTATAGGTAACATAAATCGAAAAGATGAACTTGATCATCTTCCTCTACCCAATCCACTTGAGTGGCATCTGATGGGAAAGCATCTTATAGCACTTATCGTCCAATTTCATATATTTTCGATCATCTTACTCTTAATTGAGTACCGTTTTCAATGGCATTCATGCACAAAGTACGTATTTTTAAAAAATTAGATAAACACCACAAAGTGTACATCACAATTCACTAAGAAAAGTGTACTCGAAAAACGATTTTCGTATTACGGTTTTATTTTTTCGGTTCAAAAGTAGTATGTGTATGGAAAGGCTTAACATGCCAGCGTGGATCGACAGATTTCTGAGAAGCATCACATTCCGATGGTCGGTCGTATTCAAAAACAATGGAAAAAAAAATACAACGAGAAATTCTCCAGGATTTTCTCCGCTGTTAGTCGTCCTCTGCATGGACTCGTTCAGATTCGATTTTTCAGAAGTTCAGAAGTTCTTTGATGTGCTGCGTTAGAAGTGGACCCAGCAAAGTCAACCACGAATAATGAAGTATGTGCTGATAAGGCAAAGGAACTCAAGAGTATGAATAAATTGGAATATTGGAAGACAGAATACCAACCCAAAAAAATTACGATAAAGTGCAAGTAGAGATTTCGGTGTGGGCACAAATGACAAGAACTTAAAGCAATTAATGAGCGCACTGGAGTTTAAGAAACAATTGTACTGGAGTGTTAAAACTGGAGTAAGAAGACTTTGGAGCAATGGACGATGATATCAGGCTGTTACTGATTAAGGAACTTATATTCAACCGGAATGTCTAGAGAGATTGTGTTTCAAAGGACGAGCTAGGATATGAACTTCACAGCATTGAACAAAGGAATGAACCCATGATTATCCAACTTCGTATAATGTTGTTATACCGGGATTTTGAAGCTGGAAAAGACTTATAATACGTTCTTGGTATCTGTAGTTCCTTCAGACTAGATATAACCTCTCAGACAATCCAACCGTGGAAATTCTTCAGTAGTAAGCACTCTTGCAAAGCGAAAATGTTGGGCTCGTGATGAAGTGTAGAACAAAATAATTCCGTATACAGTGACATGAGATAAGGGATCACTAACATACATGAATGCGAAGCGAAGGTAATCAGTAGGTCTGGTGCCGTCGAGGCATATCTAACCTATAGTGTTGTGGATTCAAGGAGGATGAAGCGAACTATAAAACTGGATGCAAAATACAATTAAGCACTTGTCTCAATAATGCAGAAACAACCTCTGTTTCATCCTAATAATTATATATATAATGAGGATTTATATTTATTGATATAAAGGATGAAACGAAGGCTAATTTTTTTAATATGTGTATTCAATTCTTGTCGGTAATGGAAAGTTTGGAGTTATTCGTCCGAAAATTAAAAGAATAATTGCTAGATTCAACAGAAAACATTACTGTGATATTTCCCTCCTGAGATTTATAATAGCGTGTGCTCGGGAAACTGTTATGATTTAAAACATACAATAAATCTGTAATTTCTTGTTTGCGGTATGAGAGATGAATGGAGTTAATTATTCCAGAACAATCAATCAGTAACTGTATGAGTTACAGACTTTAGACTTGTAAGAGGTTGTAGTATAACTTTTAGATATTCTGAATTGAAACGCACAAAGAAATTGTTATCAGCCTCTACAGATTCTAATGTGGATGAGGATGTTGTTAAGGAACGTAAGAAAATAGAAAATTTAGTTCCAGAATCAAGTAACGATTACAGATTAATTGTTCGAAATGTCTCAAAGGTATGTCTTACATATGCTTACTCTGATATAATTAGCTTAAACAGTATAAACTCTTTTCCCTTTCTACTACCATTTTCAGTCTTACGATGGACAGACGTTAGCTGTGCGAGATGTTACATTCGCAGTGAAAAATGGTGAATGTTTGGGATTATTGGGAGTGAATGGAGCTGGAAAAACCACAATGTTCCGCATGTTGACAGGACAGATGTCAATTGGTGCTGGAGATGCCTTCATCAACAGCTTAAGGTTGATTACCAGCTTTATTATCAAGTATCATTTATTAATAACGATCAAAAGAATCATTTATCATTATTCTGATCATTTTGAATACTTACCGTCATTATTTGATTTCTCTATGAAATTTAGTGATAAATATTTTATCATCTTCATTGATTAAAAAATTATGGTTGCAGACAATTGTACAATTTTAATTGCAATAAAAATCACTTTTAACGTAGTTAAAATTAATTTAATACAGATTTATTGCATTTCGTATATAATTTGGTGGAGAATAAAATAAAGAGTCTTAAACATTTTTTGCAGAAGTGTGAAATTTTAAATTGCTATCAGAAAATAATTACTACAAAAAAACTCTCTTAAGCATTCAATACAACAGTTCGAGTAATCCGAGAAGTTCTGGTTATTGTCCTCAGTTCGACGCGCTGAACCCAAAACTGACTGCCAGGGAACATCTTAGATACTACTCGTTTCTTCGAGGAATCAGGAAGGATTGTGTAGATAAGGTAAATGTCGGATCTACTTTCATTGGGTAACAAATAACTAATTTGCTCACATTATAAACTGTTATTGCCTTTCATCTATATGAAAGACCACCAACCTTTAAATTTTGTTCGATTTTTACAAAGGCCATTTCATTTTAATAGAGTTAATGTTTTACACATTTTTAGAAAATTTATGATGCATTTGCCCGTTTTTGGTAGATGCATAATACTTCTAAAAATTTGTAGAATTATCTATTAGTTGTAACCTCATTCTATATAAGCTCCAACGCAATAAAAATCATCTTGAAAATAATCACATTTTGGTGTCTGTAGTTCTAGATAACGTTAAATGATCTACACTGAATATATTAAAATCAAGTTTCTTAAATTCTGTAAACACATTTTGATTAGTATATGTATTGAACAGATTAATTTGCAAAAACGTGATGTAAATTGTGCATGTATATTTTGACCTTGAGATGCAACACAAAATTAGCAGTAATATTTACGTAGGCAGTTTTGGTCAGAAAATGATAAAATTTTATTGAAATAAATATGATATGTAATACTTTATAAGTACATTGAGGTAGTAAATTGGACTTTGAACGAGCTACATCTGAACACGTACGCAGATGAGGTAGCGGGAAGTTATTCAGGTGGAAATAAGAGAAAGCTATCAGTAGCCTTAGCTTTAGTCGCGGATCCACCATTACTACTTTTGGTAAAAATTATTCTTTTTTTCATCCATATGTTGTATAGCAGGCTATAACATTCACTTATTCGCTTTCTTATTAGAAAGTGTCGCTTTTCTGTACCAAATTAGAAATAAGAGTGCATCCTCCTTATGTGCACATATATTAGTTTAAGTAAATGTAAAAATTAGAGCTATGTACAAGCATTTCAAAATTAGTCCATATTGATCCAGAAGTCAGTGTCTCATTACTTGGCATCATTATTTGTTGAGTTAGTTTTATATAATAAGTTGCTTTCAAATTGATGATGATCAATGGATAATTCATGATCCAAATAGATCACAGAGACAGAAATATTTGCTTCTAGAAGAGAGATCAGTCATGAAAAGTGAGCATCACCTATCATTTCCTTTTAATTCATTTCAAACGATATTTTAAGTAGAGCACATAGTATTATGTTAATAAAATGATGAATGTCGCAATGCTATAATAAAATTACATGTCGCATTTGTTATCTGAGTTTATAAAAGGATGAACCGAGCTCGGGGATGGATCCCTCCACCCAACGCTTTATGTGGAATGTTTTGCTGAAATTACGTAAAAACAAGCGTGCGATGGTTGTAACATCACACAGCATGGAAGAATGTGAAGTACTGTGCAGTCGGGTCGCTATTATGAATCGCGGGGAATTGCAATGTGTAGGACCCATTCAGCATCTCAAACAAAGGTAATAAGGCACATCAGGTGCATCTTTTCTGATCTAAGTCATATCTGATCTGAAATACCTTGTTTTTGGTTTATATCTGAGCTCTTATAAACTTTCATCAAGCATCTTTCCAACTAGACCTTTTCAGTTTTGTTATTAGTACTAAACCAAGACTGTTAAACATTTCATATCACTCTGTTCTTATTCCGTTCATATTTGCAATAAATTATCCAACTGACTTGAAAAAATAGAAGCCATTGGCTCATATTAAATTTATTAGTGACTTTACAGATTTGGTGAGGGATATAGTTTAACTATTAGATTGTCAAAAAAGGAAAGTATCAAAAGCGTGCAGAATTTAATGGCAACATTTCTTCCTGCTTCGCGTGTAAGTTCAGTGTGTTCTTCTTTACATATTTTAACTGTAAAATTACGAACCAAATTTCATTGACTTTTACCATGCCCCTCTTGATTCTAACTTATCACTTTAACGGCTGACTTTAGATGGTAATATGAGCTTTAAAATCTTTTTCAGTTAGCTGCCGTCCACTCTTTAACTATGTTCTATCAAATTCCAAACGCATCTTCTACGGTTGCACATATATTTGATGTAATATGCAAGGTGAGCTATCTCATAAACTTTGGCTTCATTATAAATTATGCGAGTCCGTCCCTTAGTTATGTTTTCTTGAAAAGAACATGTGGGTAGAAGCGAGTTTTATCTTGACAGCAGTTCCAAACTTGCTTGAAAATCATTGAAGGAACAATCTCATGTAAACAAAGTAAGACAAAAAACCCTTCATTGTCTTACTTTTTGAATTTAGTTTGTTTACATTTAAGAATTGTTATAAAATATATTTGTGTTGTGCAATATTACAAATGAATAGCAGTTAATGAGATGTGTTACAGATGCAAGATACCATAGAAATTGCCGATTATTCATTGTCACAAACAACTCTAGATGACATGTTTGTCTCGTTTGTGGAAATGTCATGCAACGAATGTGACCCAAGTAAAACACCATCAAGCGAAAATTGAAGTCAGAAAATCGTGATGTCTTTTTACAGATATTTTCATTCCAGATTCCTTAATTTGCATGTCGGGTCTTCCATCACGTTTTAGAATATTGTATTCGAGACTGAATAAACCATAATTCCTCTCCTTTAAGTCCATTTGTCCGTCTATGCCTATTTTTTCAGTTCTACATGCGTTCTCAATCTAAGATATAGACCCATGATTCTACTTCTTAAGATTGTTCACGACTTCTTTTCCATCAATAATCCCCTTCAGTTTACATAAATGCAACGTCAATACTCATTATTTGAGATATCAGACAAAGGAGCAACATGACAGAAGCTCTAAATGATCATGAATTAGAACTAGGATTTATATACATTACACTGCACTCTGAATACATTTGTTTAGTATATTAAGCTTCCGTTAAAGTACCAGACACCATTATTATTTTGTACAGAAGCAACATCTGTAAACAAAGTTGCAAATGTCAACTTTGAAAATGAGTCAGTAGTTGATCGTCATCCAGACAATTAATTCAGACCGGAAAAGCAGTTTTCAAATTAGATTCACAAGCCTAACATTTATTCTATGAGCTTGAATTTATTTCATGTTAGTACAAATTTGAGAAGGACAAATTTTGATAAACAGCAAACATGCACAGTAAGAGAATTATCACACGTTTTTTTGTAGCAGTGGACCAAACATATTAATGCCGTCAGGTAGTGATTTACTCTGTAGAAAACCACTTGTTAAGCACTGAAAATAATTATGGTTAACGATGGCTGCTTCTTACTTAGCTATAAAATGGAAAGATTGTTAAGAATAGTCACACAAAACAAAATACTGTTTTACTTTAGGTACAGGTTTGTAAGCTGTTATTAACAGCATGAACTCAAAGCAACACTGAATTCATTGAGATTAGATTACTTACTTCATTATAAGTTTCTTTCCGAAGACACTGAGCCCTAAAAATAAGTTTTTTAATAGTCTCTAATGTTTTCAAAACACTGATTTCTATAATGTAACATCTTGCCAGCTTTCTTAAATAAATGTTAAGCACAGAGAAATAATAACATTAAATGACAATAAACGCCCAGTTGAGAACCTCTATTTTAACTAAAAGACGTTTCTAAATGTACTGATATTAGTAAAACAACCAGCAGATACTACTGCACAGCACTAGCATAAATTACATCATGCTTGTATTTTTCCGAGTTATGTTGCAGTAAGCACTGAAATAATATACTTCTAATAATCAAGAAAAAACTTGCAACTCAAAAATCAAACAAAATATGGATTTTGATCGTCGTCGGCTACTAACCAAATTTCACGAGTTAAATCGCTGGCATACAAGCCGTTCATACGATTTTTTACAAACGATAATAATAATATACCATCAGGACGAAGTATGTGTACCGCAAAGTTAAGCAAATAACTTTTAGCTCTCATATCAATGCAGTTATGATCAGCCTTAAACAAATACTAAAATAAGTGAAAAGCATATGGATATCAGAAAGCCCTTTCAACAATAATCTATTTTTAAAAAAACCTGTAATAGTGACAAGATACGCGTATATTGCAAATAAGGACAAAGCAATAGCAGTGTTGAATTTACTGCATTCACTCCATCAATTACCATCAAAATCATCAGCCAAAACCATAATGCGACATACAGTTTTTCATTTAGAACATTGATCATCAGTACACACTGCATCGTATACGTGTTCATTTGACCAACTTGCTAGAAACTTATACTATATCAACTTGCAAGATTATAATCAGTCTGTCAGTATTTTACGAGAGTTAAAAAATAGTCACCGTTTAATAAACAATAAGAATTCTCCTCACTGCATATATAAAATATATTATAAATAAATAAAATGTGGAGGTTAGTTTTAATTTTCGCTTTATTGACTCTGGCGCCGGATCGCATTCCGGCATCTGGCAGTACTTGTCCTGCGCTCAGATTTCTTTTGGTTTTAATATATTATTTATGCGCAATGTTTCAGTTTCGCAAAATCTATATAAATATATATAGAACTTGACAACAACAAATTTTCAATCTTTATATTATGAACTATTCTTAGACAAAACTTTAGAAATGATAAAAACTGAATAAACATACTGTGGTTTCGACATCACAAAATGTAACACGCGGAAACATATTAGACACTTTCCAATCATTACCTCTAAAAACTTGCTCTGTGAACTGAAATAGACCAAAAACTTGTAAATTGATATACATATAAGAAATCTAAAAGTATTGTCAAAATTTTCAAAAAGAAAGTACTCACATGGTAACCCCAAAGCAGACTTCCATCACCAACAAAATTATTTATCAGCAAAACCTGACAAAGACAACAGCCAAAATATAACCATTTCATGAACAGATAAAACAGAAAACAGTGATATCCGGACAAGCATGAGTAACCCAGTCTTAATAGTGACATAAAGTTGACAAGCACTTCAAATTAAAAAAGCACTCCACATTTTAATAAACTTTTGCCAAAATTCCATAAATGATCTGTTAAGGAACACTGCAGTTTATCTTAAACTTCACCTCATTCCATTTTTTCAAAGATTTTATCTTATTTCTGATACAGTAATGTTTAAAAAGTTTTTAGTTCATTCAGAGATTTAACAAAAATGCGCAGAAAACTACTTGTTTCTGACTCACTTTCTTTGCTTATATCTAATATATCCCACAGCAAAGTTAGCAACTTTTCTAAGATGCTTTTGACGGGCTGATACTGATGTAATACCTGGCAGTTTTATTGCTTCCTCCAGAACTGAACGTAAATCTGAATAGCTTCTCCATATAATTTAAAGTTTTATGGTAAATTATTAATTAGATAAGAATGAATAAAGAAATATTGTCTCCTGGTTTTCCATTAGATATGATATATGCAAATCACCAAAATTAAAAATTTGGTAAAAATGTTAGTTTCAATTACTTCTGACTGAATAGAAAAAACAATAAGTTTATTGATGCTAAATTACACGACTGAATATTCTTAGCAAAACTCGCAAGATAAAAACTGCTCACCATGCTCTATAACAATATTCCATAGAAATTTCGGTGTATAGCAAAGTAACGCCTGCACCAGCAGGACATAGGGTACCCACTGGAATAAGCTGTTTTGTGCTATTAATGTCACTAAATTAGAATTTTGCATAGAGTTTACCAAGTAGTATTACTTCACGAAACCTCGAAATTTGTCTAATATACTTTTACAAGAGACTGTTACTAGATGGCCTTCAACCAATCATACACTGTAATGGAAGACTGAATTTTAAATTTAAGTAATTTATGAGAGCAACCTGATAATAAACGATTTCTTCTTTCAGTACATTCGCTTCTTGTCCTATTGCAATAACTGCACTTGTATTCACGGTATACGTGTTGCTTACAAAACAGTAATCTTGAACATAATTAACCCATGTCCCTATAATATTTGTCATATACCGATTTTCAGAAATATATGGCAAACAATTCCTAAAAAAAGGTTCGAACTCATAAAGAAGGTCCACTTATATTTAAAATTGAAAAAATACTGCATACTATAACAGCTTAATATTGCACCAACTAACTGCTATTATATTAAATGTAAAAATATTGATGAATTTTTATTCCTCAATAATGCTTAATAGTAATTAAAAATGTTAATACTGCTAATACATTAGAATGCTATTAATATACAAACTTTCAAAAGCTTGTAATTCTCATGCTTTTATGAGCTTTCTTTATGAATTCATAGACGAAAAAGTTAAGACAAAATTAATCCTGAAAATATTCGACAGAGAATTAGACCGGTTTTTAGACCTAACTAACTCAGATTTAATTATTAATTTATCTTACAGTTAGCACTATTTTTTTCTTTTGGAAGTTCATGGTAATTTTGACTGTGAAAGAAAAAGGTTAACCAGGGAAATGTGCCGGCACCATACACTGAATAGCTGTGCCAAAATGTTGTTTCGCACCAGTAACTGCAGCCATAAACATAAATAAGGCTACAGTGTACAGATAATTTAGACGATCAACAAAATTGTCTGTTAGATCAGAATGTACAGGCACAAATTTACTTGCAAATAACTCAGTCCACGTCAACATCTGGTTCGATTTTACGACTTTAAAAAACTTGGATCTGAAATAAAATCAGGCCGAGACCAAGTTTTCGAAGTGAAGTACCCGTTACAGGCTAAGCACTTAACAGACAAAACTGGCACGTGCAGTAAACCCTACGTGGTGATTACATAAGACACAAGGATTTGCATACATTAACGTTATCATGCATATCAGAAGTAGAGAAAAGCGACGTAGAATTTATCATCAAAATATTGTGGCAATGAAAAAAGCTCAATGTTAAAAGTATCGGAATATTTTTTCAGTTGAGTTGCATCTTCAATATGCAGCACCACGTTATATTCAAATGACGGCCAGAACTCATCCTTATTACGGAGATATTTTATTTAGCGCTGAACATGTAGAATGTCGATTGTACGTGTCCAACCATATTAGCCTTCTTTTACGAGTGTGAAAAGAAGGCTAATATGTAAATTTCACACATGAAAGTCTTATGATCAGTGCCGCCACTTTCATCATGTGAATTATCCCAGTGTTTGCGTATCGCACCCGTTAAATAATGAACACGTAAAGACGTGAGTGATAATTCTAAACCAATGATTTGATTGCGATATGATTCGTTTATCGCGTAAGTACTGAATTAGGGTTTGTTTGCAAGTCAGAGCTCTTGTTATAGTGAATTAATTTGATCCAGGAACATTCTCAACCTGCGTCTTTCGGCGATAACGACCACTATCTTGCGTTCTGCCGTAGTCAGCAATTTTTAATGGTAACTAATCAGCTGTTTATATTGACCGAAAAACTTGTGCTAATCGGTATCTAATTACTGCATCATTTTGAAGCATGTTAAGTTTGACTCGATATTATACTCAATCAACTCATTTATTCATCAATGCATTTACAAACGATATTATACTTAATCATCAGTTATCTTATATCGATTTGGGACTAACAAAACTCTGGTAGTTCATATTAAATTGTGTTTGGTGTGAAGAACATGATATCATGGATATCCAGGAAATTCAAATGATCTTCTGTATCTTTTTGATCTGATCGAGTACATTGTACCTAAACGATTGACAACAGTATTGCAACAGCCATAAGGTGCGTTCTTGTATCTGTGCGCATATATATTGATAAGTGATTTATATATGCAGAAGAGCAAACTTGACCGGTTTTGGCCTGTTAATAACAAGAATAAGCAAATTGTGAGTACTGCAGAAAATTGTAGTTTCAGGTGAAATCCGTTAGGAGTTATTAATTTTTGGCTGAATTCAAAGTTGAGTAAATAAATATACACTCCTGGACAGACTTCTGATTGAAAATTGAATTGCCTTAAAAATTTAGTGCAGTTAGATTTTGACTTTAGCTGTTAATTGCTAAAATCAAAGTCTGTTAATTATGCTAAATGCATGGCTTTCTGACTAATAAAATTATATTGCACCAACTTTGCTGGCCTTATTTAATAGTCTTCGTTCTCTGGAAGTCAGCTCCAAATTTCGCGGCATGTATTCTGGCATCTTAAATACCTCTAAGAGTTCCTTCTGCGTGAAAAATCTGCTCATAAGTCGTGGCCTCCCATCATTTTGTGAATCCTAAGCCTCATGTATTTATTCCGAAGTTGCAACACGTTTTGGTAATGCAAACTGTCCATCATTTTTTATCAATTTCTTATTTAATCATCATTTATCTTACATCGATTTGAACTAACAAAACACTGATCAGTTCATATTAAATTGCGTTTGGTGTGTAAAGAGCACAGTACCCTGGATTTCCACGAAATTAAAGTGAAAGGTCATGTGCAGTATTTAGAAATAAGTTTCCGTCACCGTCCAGTTGTAAATAAAAATAATATTCCTGCGTAGAAGTTCAGAATGATTTACTCTACCAAAAAATTCTGCGTGTCGGAAGCTTCAGGCTTTTTCTTGCATAAATCCGCCAAGGTAAGAGACGTGAAGAAGTATATGTAAAAAGCGATGAAGACTGTCATTAATAAAGCTGAGACCGACAGAAAAACAAGCAGGAAATACCAAATCTAAACTTTACGGAATTTGTTGTAGTTTTTCTTTTTTATTCTGTGCGAACTAACGATTTCTGAATTTATCAATCTTTAAATCATTTTTATAAGGCCATATTAACATTTAGTTCTGTAATATTGATGCGCATATGTGAAATGTAAAATATTCACTATTGACAAGCAATGCAAACATGAGAGGACTATAGTTTACCCAGTGGCTTGAAAGTAGATATAACATTTCTCGACCGTTCTTAATTGCACTCCATCACAAGAATGCTCAGAAGACTTTTTTGCGATTTCTATGATTTTTGATAATCAACGAATTTTTGCATCATTCCGAGTGTATGCTAAACAGTTATTAATTTTGAACAGTTCGCCTTGATAATTTTTCTATACATAGAAGATTCTTTCTGTTAAAGCCAGTTCAATTTGTTAAACTTGTGATTATTCTGTCTGAGGTATGCAAATACGACTTCTGTTAAATATCAATCTTGCAAAAAGTTACAGACCAGAACAATTCATGCGTGCGTATGAAAGCTTTCAGTAATTTGGTTTATGATTGAGCATCATAGTTAAATTTTCGAAAACAAAAATAATATGTAATAAACCAGAAAAGATCAATATGTATATTTGAGATTTTACATCTGCTTGTAATGACAAATTTACCACTAAATGTATAGAGCGCAAAAGTACAGTTTTCTCAAGGAAAATACGTCAGCCTCATTATACCAACGAGTCGCGAACAACCGCATAAAACAAGCAATCAATAACTTTCGGCAACTAGCAATCAATAATGCATCTTGCTGAGAGCACGGTGCATGTATTTTCTTCTTCAAGTATTTGAACAGGAGTTACTATTCAAACGCGAGGCATACCTCAGACAGAATAATCACAAGTTTAACAAATTGAACTGGCTTCTACAAACTATACCTAATCATTGGCACTGTTTGTTCTGAACAGCGTGCACACAGTGCCTAAAAGTGTAATTCCTAAGTACTTACTCGAAAAACTAGCCCCTTCACAAAAATCGGAGCTTCAGATGTGAGCCAGAACATGAGCAGAATCACTAATCACTGAAACATTTGGTGATTATTTACCACCGTCTTCTTCGATCCAATCACTATTAACGTAACTTCCATTGCATGAGCACTACCTGCAACGCTTTCTTGTCGTCAAACTGAATTTATTTTCTCATTCGAAACAAATATTACTTGCAGCCCAAATAGTCCATGCTTCAGTTTATTTGAAATTTATTTGCCATTTTCAGGTTTCCAAAAACGACTACTTTCAAATATTTGAATTCGAAGGAAAACTAGTTCAAAATTTCTTTGAGTACACTAAAATATTCGGTGATAACGACATGCATCTGACATATGTCACAACAGACAAACCAGACAACCGTAGTTAATTCGAAAAACGGGTTAAAATGACGTGCAATTTAATGATGAAAAAGAAATTATCTTGTTAGTTTGGTGTATTTGAAAACCGAAATACAATACTTGAGCAAATTCCACATAGTAGTAAAGCACGACATGAGCAGACAAACCTAAAGGAGCAAAGAAATTTTGGCTGAACATGCTCAGATTAAGTTTAGCATTCGCAATATGGTAGACTACAAATTGAAACTTAAAAGCGGTCCAATATAATGGTAAGTAGATCCGCATTTTGATTTGACCTACAAATATCATTTTCATTTGATACGATACAGCAAAATAAAAAAGAATTTGCAAGTGGAAGAACATCTCTCGTATCAAAATAAAATTTAGGGTCAGCGTTCCAGAAGATTTGCAATATGCCTCCTGAGTGGGAAACAATACATTTTGCTTTGTCGATAAATTTTTGCTCTTATTGTAAAGTATGAAGTACAAATCATAACTAGTAATGTCTCGTTACTTTACAATTTTATTTCTGGAAACTGCTAATGATTACCACTGATGACTTCTAGAAAGTACCAAACGCAAAGATCTGTAATGAATATCTGAAAAAAACTGAACACTCAAAAGAGAAGTTTGGATCCGCAATTTTTTTCTTCAGAAATATCTGAACTTACTTTAATCCCATGCATCCAAAATTATTCCAGCGCTAGCTGTGAACACATTTATACAAGCTACATTTTCTTGACATAATCTGCATGAAATGCTGGTATACCTAACATACATTCATTCAAAGTCATAAACAAATTCGCCTTACGAGTAAAGTAGTGTGAACTGTACAGTTCATAAAACTTTCTACCAATAAATGTTCTTTTACAAAAAAACAAACTTATTGTACCAATTCAAAAGTGCTTCGCTTACGTGCTTCCAAATAAGCATTGATAAATCAGCACTAATCGCATTAGCAGCTCTAGCCAATATCTGCAGTTCACTTTAGTTATTTCAATGTCAATAAAAATTTTAAGACAAGGGAAGAGCAGAGAGCGAATTTTTCTTTTTTCGTGCCCACATTGTTTTAAGAGTACAATATTGAAAATTAAGCAGAATCTTTGCATAGAGTCACTATTGTAATCATGACATCTGCCATGTGTTTTTCTTATCAGCTTCCGAATATTTTAATCAGATATAACTTTCTGAAAGTCAGAGCACCAGTAAGACTGGCCTTCAACTTTCTACTTTACACAGCAAAATTTGATGACTAGTGAGAAATTAAAAATCAAACAAAATCTTCGCACAGTAAAAGTATAGGAAGAAATGAGATCATCCTAAACAAGTTTATAACCTTTCTTTCTTGACAAAACAAATATAATAAAAATGTTCTTAAATGCACTTACCAATTTCCGCTCCACACTGGGCACTAAAATGTCAAACAGTAAGCAGCGACTAAGCACTAATATCCACATCAGAATCACTAAGACCTCTAGTTCTTACTGCTTTATCCAGAAATATCCTCATCCTTCATCTACTTGCACTTTTTAAAGCAAAATTTAGATCCTAAATATGTCTTAGTGTCAAAATCTGTGAAAGTTTATCTATAATGACTTTTTTAATAGCATATTTGGACTACAAACCACTATTTCAATATAATAATGTTCAATATAATACAGAAGACTTTGTTTTACTGTTCAGTATAAAATACTGAAAACTATTAGTCGATAACGTCAAATTATGAAAGCCTATTTCGAGTTCCAATACTTAGATTTATATTGTTTTGGATTTTTCATATATTTATATATATATATATATTTTTTTTTTAATTAGAGAAAACAAAGTAAAATTTGAAAAAGATTAGCACTTCAGCTTTTTCTGTAGAAGTGATCATGAAGCTAAAAGCAAGCAATCTATATTCATTGCATCAGCATCAAGGACCAAGCATGCATCTTACAAGTGTGTTCAAATTTTATCGACAGTCAAACGTTTTGTACAATACAATGCTTTCCAAAATTCCAATTCGCTTGAGATACCTTGCCTAGGAAAAATATCACAATCAGAGAACATGCTGTAGAGCTACTTTGCCAGTCGTTATGGGCTACACACACTTAGAGCTTTTGAAATTTGGATATGTAAAACTTTTCTTACATACAAATCACACGAATACATAGTAATCTCAAACGCAAAAAATATTTTGAGAACAATGAAAAAAAATGTACACAATGCGATGTTTCCAGCACGATATGTTTATACAGTACATGATGAATCACTCAAAATATCAGAAATTGTACATTAAAAATGACACAAAAACTGAATCTTTATGTGAATTAGATACTAGGATTAAAACAAAAAATACGAGAAGAAAAATTACTTTTGCAAAGCTTTCCAGCCACCAAAAGCTTCTTCCAAATCCTGCGCTACAGATATAAGCAAAAAATCGGATCCAGGAGCACCAATGACTTGTACACCAAGCGGAATATTATAATCATTTAAACCTACTGGGCACTGTATAACTGGCACTGCTAGCGTATTCCAGAGAGCTGTGTACCCAAAGTTTAATGGAACGAAGAGAGGTTGGTGATGATAAGGTGCTACAGTTGGAAACGCAGGAAACAATAAAACAGCATCGTTAGATAAAAGTTCAGTAACCTCTCGAATTAATCGATCTCGCTGATTTTTCAACTAAAAGAAATAATACAAAAAGGTTCTACAAATATAACAAAAAATCTCATAAAGCTTTATAATAAAAAGTTTTCTTGAACTTGCTTTATTTTATAGATGAACAATGAGGAACGAATTTCAAACTTCAATAGTTTTTATACCGCAATAAAGTTAGTGACTCTGAATGTAATGAAATTCTGAAAACCACCTTCTGTTTTTGTTTTTCCGTGAATGGTGCAAAATATTCGTCAGCAATGCCGGTTATGATAGCTGGTAATGTATGGTCTGAATTACCTACCAACCACTTCAATGTTTCAACGAAACAATTAACATCACCCTTTAAACGATAAATCAGAAGATAACATACAAATCTGACTAGTATATTTCACAAAAACTTTTCGTTTCACTCATGTGATATAAAATAAATGAATGCTGCAATATATACCAAGATATTTGTTTACTAACAACTGTTTCTAAAAGTAGGAAGAAGATCTGCTGAGCTATCAAATAACTTTGAAAACAATGAAAAACCTTCAAATCCGCCATATACATCGAAAACTTTGGAGCATTAATATCTTCCATACTTGTTAAAAAAAATTCGAGTGCATAATGAGCAAATGGTAAATCCACACGAATTGCAGACAAGTTGTATTTTAACTCTAAATAACGAACTGCCTAAAATAAGAATCTTTTGAACAGTTACTAAAATTTTTATCGAAAGTTGTTGCTCACTAAATACGTGGCTTTTCTTAAACCACTTGATAGCCGCTTAAATCTTCAGCATTTTACGGGAAGTCAAAAGGGAGTTTTAAAGACTAATCAATAAAAATAACTTTCTTTCCGTAACGCTCGGTAGCATTCCTCATTTACTTCTGGTACTAAAGGTGTTTTAAGACCTTCCATGTAAAAAAGACGAATTTTTTTCATGTTATACGAGTTATGCAACTGCAGCAATTTCATGCCTTCACTTCCAGCAAAAATCTAAAACTTAGCACTTTTACAGCACAAAGAATTTATCACACGAAATCTGATTAGGAATGTAAATAAGGACCCGTAACAAAAGAGGTAAATCCTTAGCGTAACGACATATGGGTCCAATACACAACATTTTATCAGTACGGTATCCATCGATGAGCGGTAAATGTCCTTCTATTGGAACCACACCTGATGGATACACTTTTTTCTATGAAAGAATTCGTACAGCCTGGGCACTGACTATTGCAGTATTTAATTATACAGTCACTAAAATATGTTTCTGTTTGTCGGTAAAGCTAGTGGGAGTACACTTTAAACAGACTTGATTTTAAAATAGAGAGAAATTAAATCAGTGAGTAACGCACCGGGAGTCGGTTTCAATCCAAATATTCCATTAAAATAAGAAGGCATACGAATAGAACCAGCGATATCACTACCGATTCCAATGACCGAACCAGCAGAAGCGACAAGTGCAGCTTCACCACCACTGCTACCACCTGCTATTCTTCTACTGTCATATGGATTTTTCGTGCGTCCATAGATAACATTAAATGATTCCCACCACATGCATACTTCAGGTACATTAGTTACCGCAAGTAAAATTGCTCCAGCATCTTTCATTCTGTAAAAAAAAGGCAGGCAAGTTTCAAAGTCCAATTATCGATGAAGGCGAATAGCAACAAACTGATCAAAATTCTCATTACATTCTGCAATAAAAAATTTTTGTAAATAATAAAAGTCCTTAAACCATGTGATTTTCAAGCCAAAAAATTAGTAAAATACGAAAGTAAACCAGTAAAGTCAAACAAATCCTGATTTAAAAAAAGCTTACCGCTGCACTACAACTGCATCTTTTTTGCTTACTATATTTTTCCGAGATAATATTCCTATGGTACAATACAAACTATCTGCCTCAATCGAATCTTTCAAAGTGAAAGGCACACCAAGCAATGGCTTCTCTAAAACTAGCTGAAACAATATATTCAAATTTATCGTAGACTTCAAATTTCATTTTATTACTCCTCTGTCATTTAGTCACAAAATATTTTGAACTGGAACAAGTAGAAAGGAAAATTAAGCAATTAAAAATTTTTAAAAGATTGAATAATTATTTATTTTTCAAAAATACAACATTTAATTTCGTGCTTTCTCCTTTGAGAAATGAAAAATTACTAATCAATGTCATGTCTAGATATCGCTGAAATTTTAGCCTGGAAATAACAGCAAAATTTACATTTTTGAATTGCACTGTACTGCGATCCAAATTATCCAGAAGTTCATCAACTTCTTGTGCCTTAACTAAGGCATCTTCAAAGTTCATCTGCACAACCGCATTTATTATATCGTTCACTTCATTAATGCGCTTAACATATGCTTTTATTAAATCTACACTTGTAATCTGAAACATTTTACTAACAAACTTTGCAAGATGAAAATAAATGCATTCATTTTAAATCATGCCTTTTACTTTAAAAGCACCGCCATCAAAAAATCCTAAATTAAATTATGCCAATGACGTTAGAACTGTGCTAACAAAAAATACTGTAAACAACAAAAACAAGTAGAAGCAGTCGACCTGAAAGTGAAAAATACTACGATTTTAATTCTAAAATGACCTGTACGCATACAGAACAGATAGCAAAATTAATTTCTAAAATAGCAAACTTAGTGCTGCAAAAATTGATCAATCGAAAACGCAAGACAACACCACCAAATTCACTGTGGAAATTTCTGGCAAATAACATGATATATCACCAATGTATATCATTAAAACTAATAGTATTATTAACAACGACGCCAAAGTGACGCTGATACTGGGAGATGCCGATCGATTAAACATAATCAAAATTACGATACGTCATACATACCTCTCTATTTCGAATCATTTTGGCTGCCTCAGTAGCACTTATAAGAAGTAACTTGTCTTCAGGGGCGTGAACGCAACGTTTAGTACAAAAGTAATTGACGAAGGTGAAAAAGCATGACACGATGGGAAAATAAAGCCGTGAAATGATGAAAAGCAATCGTCTAAATGCAACCATCATAGAGCGCGGCATCTCTCTGCACCAACACTATGAATAGAAACAGCGTTATAAAAATGAAAATAATATAATCCTGAGAATTAACACTTCTTGGCTCTAAAGGCCTGAAAAAGATTGAATTTAATTTACATATTTGAATCCAACGAGACACATCAATGTTTAGACTTAGATGCCCAAGCATATAATTCACTTAATTTACATTTACCGAATTATAACTGGCCTAAACAAACTCCACTTATGTAATGAAAATTTTTGAGGCTGAAAGTAGAACGCTGATAACTGTTTTCGTAGCATTTGACTGTTATGTGCAATAAAAAAACTGAATGATTGCGAAACTGTTTTTGCAAGTAGTGAGACCTAACAGTTGGCGGAAAACAGTATTCAATTTGGGTGTCACAGCCCTGTAAGAGAATTTGCGGTTTTTTCCTCTATTTCTCCCGAATCCCAAACACCTCTGAAAAATATTCATCATTTGCCAAAGCACACTAACAGTCATTCGTGAAAGGTGAAAGTGATCACTGTTTACAGCATTTCTTAGATTGCAAAATTACGTCTAAAAATGCTGATATTTTTAGAGTTGAGTTTGATCAAATTACGCTGGAATCAGAAGTGCTTTTATAAGGCAGTAAAGTTTTTCAAAATTCTGAAATTCATCATCTATCATTCTAATCTACCAAACTTTGAAATAGTGAGCATTCACGAGCCAGTTGAACGATGCAAAAGGTCTGCAAATTAGTTTCCAATTCACATAGACTTTGAGGCAAAAACTTTTAATAAAATCAAAACACTACTTTTTGATTTTGAAACACTTACGTAGGAAGGGAAGAAGTGAACAATGAAACGCATAAAATCTGATATCTCTTCCAGTCACTTGCAAACTGTGAACTAACAAAGTCTAGTACTGGTACTGGTACGTGAAATATTGATGTCACATGTAGTTTTGAATAATTGGTCAGTAAGACTAATTACGGAAAATATTCTAAAATACAACTGGTTCTTACTTAAAAGAATCATTCCTGTGTACTGGCAATTTTACACATTCTGAACTACTGAGTGTTTGCAGTTAGGAGCAATCACAAGACTATCAATCATTCTTGATTTCTACTAGAAGCTGAAACGCTAGTTCCCACTCAGAATTCAATCACTTCATAGCACGATGTGATGATGAAAGAGGTCAACAAACCGAGCCATTGCTTAAACAGGAAACGAAGCAAACGCAGCTGTGTTAACAGCTGTGAAAAGCACTAGTGGCCTCAAGTATTAGCCTCCAATCTACTTTGTGATGGAAATGAAATGCTTAGAAGGAACAATAAATCTCTCCACCTTTCCTTCCTCTGCTCTTTCTCGTATTTCTCATCTCTTACCTTGACTATTTTCACTTTCTTCTTTTTCTTTCTCTTTTCTGAACACAGAAGCAACAAAGTACTGCCAAGTAAACAACAAATTATTGTCAAAAAGGCAAAGGCAAAGTAATCAAGTGGAAGAATCCATTTCAAGGAAACAAATATTAAAATAAAGTACCTACAAAAAGATCCTAACTTTCCTGCGATATTTTACGTTTACAATAAATGAAGCAGAAATACAGATGTAATATAAGTCACGACAAAGGTCGAATAGACACCGCTGCGTGCGTAACGTAACCAAACTACTGCTGGCGCAGACGACAACAAATGAGAGAATGTGTAACGATCACATTATTTTCTTCTCTGGCTATGCCTTCGTAGACAGACATGCAGAATTTCGTTGTCTTTGAGGATAAAGACCTCGTCTTTTACAAATGTATTATATTTACAAAATTATCATCACTCATTACTTTTTACGCTCGACATTACTAGCGATACCTCTCCCATTACTAGCGGTACCTCTCATATTATGGATGGTACCTCTCACATTACTAGCGGTATCAATTGGAAAGTTCGTGCAGGATTAATCGAAAGCTTAATAGATATTCGGAAAGCAGTGCCTATTTACGCTTAAAACGTACCGAATAGAGGTGTTGTACTAACGCATTTATGAATTAGAAATGCGCTTAGTGGTATGCAGGGACCTAGACAAAGCATTTACACTGTCCATGAAGTCAGTAAGGAAAGAAACAAAATTGAAATATTCTTAGAAAACTCTGAAGTATTACATATTGCTTCTTGTTTTCGAATTCAAGTGTTTGAGATACCGTAAGAGCGGTAGAATATAATGCACTGAACGTTATTTGAACAAACGAATATTAGTATTTTGATCAGATCATTAACAAAATGAATTTTTATCCTCATCTAATCACATATTCAAAAAAAAATCACTGATAAATGATATCATAATAAATTGTATCATAAAAATGATAGCAATATAATTAATTGATAGTTATCATTACCATGTTTAATCATAATAATGTACCGCTAGCAGTGTGAGAAGTCCCATCATAATAATATACATGGTGTAAAAAATGCACCGTATCTTATATAGAATTGCTGATAATAATCATAATAATAGAAGTTAGAACAAATTCGAATAGTAAGAAACATGGGCGACATAAGTAGCGCTTGAAGTAATCATAAATAATAATCATGATATTAGTTGTGACATGTTGATGATAATAATAGTAACAATACTTACTACAATAATAATTATTCCAGTCTTAAGTTTATCAGTATTCTTGAAATTAAAGTCATGGTTGAAGTTATCAGTAGCATTATTGTTACTATTATCAATATTATTATTTTTGTAATAATACCAAATATAAAAATATTATTATTAATAAATTATAATAATTACCTTATTAATATTGAAATTACTTTCGTCTTTGTTAGTGTAGTACTAATTGTTATTTTGCGTTAAACTTATGATGTATCCGTGAATAACTAGTTCTTTGTGTTCATAGAAGTCGGTCAGTGTGATACAATTTATTTTCTAGTACTGGTGTCCAACATACTTATTGTCAAGTATCTTCATTACAGCATAATGTTGATAAGTCACAAGATTTATAATGACAATTCTTTTAATTGTTCTGATTGCGCAAAATGCTCTGCTGAGTCAAATATACCCATTTCATAAGTGAATCGATACCATTTTATTTCGTGATATGAAATATCAGTTTATCGCTTAATATCACTGCATGGAAATTTCTGATCAGTAAAAACACGTGATAACGTTTGGAATTCTAATTTTCTTCCAATGTTTGTTTTTCATTCGGACTACGAAGACTGTGTTGAAACTTGGATATTTTTTGCGCTTTGATGCATTAATTAGATACAAGGACATTCCATATTGATATGTAGATTTTGTTAAGCACTGCTCTCAGCATGATGCATATCACGTATGATGCCGGTCAATTCCGTAATTTTGCTGGATATGCATAATACTAATATGTGTCACTTAACCCTAGTGCTTTGAATTAAGTTCCAAAAAGTGATTTACAATCAACAGCAATGTATTTGTGCAAAAAGCACACATGCAACACTCAAGAATCTTCTCCACTCAGTATGTTACATCTTTTCTATCTCTGATGACACAAATTTATCACCTATGTGCAAATTTTCGAATATTTGCGTTTTGGTGTAAAGCAATCCTCACACTATGCTCCTTATTTGTATCTTACCAAATTCAAACAACACAAGCAGAGCAATGACTTCAATATAACTCGGATGGCCAACACTGTGGAAATTTTTGGGTCCAGATTAGACGCTACACATTCCTACTATGCAAACGTTGATTATCTCAGAGCTTACATAAAAGCATTTACGAAAAGCCAACGCCATGCTAACGTTCACTTTGCGCAATTCTTTCAGCATTAGAAATTTGAGATTAGTGTTGTGCGAATTTCGGGGAAAGTCTGAAAAGTAGTTTATATTATGAACTTTTTTGAGTCCTACCTACTACAAACGTGGTACAAACGATTTATCTACTGTCATATGGATCTTATTGTCATTTAATTTCATTTTATCTGCTTCGCACCTATAAAAGCAAATTATTGGGTTCGTAATGGATGTGGCGAGTACCACGATGTTCCAAATTATTCAGTGTTCTCGATGCTACACTGCTATAGACGTAAGCAATGTATCACGCACCAGAATTATGTATCATTCAGTGTAAGGCTACATTCAAGCCTATGCTTTTGTTTCTCAGTACTTTCTGAGCTATGACAGTTCATGCGTCAAGTTCAATAAATGTGATGCAAATCAACGCTCAAATATATTAGTACTTTGCAAAATAGTGATTTTGTCATGATCACAGATTTGCTGTTAAAGCTCTGATGATATAGTTTATTCAAAAGAAGAAATTTTGAAATTCTATTTGAATTATAGTTTATACAAACCAAAAAACTTATGAGTTCCGTTCATATTCTAAAATCTCATTTTTAAAATAATTAAAGACTGTTGTAGAAAAAGGATAATGTAACTTAATTCTTCTAAATTTCCCGTTTTACATAAGTGTGCATGCATCTTTGGGTCGCGGTCGTCCAACGCGATTACGTGTCAAGAAAATTTTAGACTGTTGGGAAGCTATTATCGCTGATAGGACATCGTTAAACAAATCCTCAATCCCTTCCTGAACATTTTCTCTTTGAATCAGTTGACTCAAGTTTTGTAAAAAGGAATGGGATTACTGACATTTTTATCTGATGAGTTCTAGTTCTGTTCATTGACTTACGTAAGTCTTCGTGGATACTTCACAGTAGGATGATGCTCTAAGCTCTGTTGATAAACTCTGGCCAACTTTGGTTGTGATGAGAGCTTGATAAAGTCGAGGATCCTTGTTTACAGCTCTGTGATATTTTAAATCAGACTTGTTTTCGAATTCTTTCAATAGTGTGTATAAAGAAAGAATTAATCTTACTTCTTAAGTTGGCTTCTGGGTACATATGGTGATCTTGTCGTTGTATCTAAATAATTCCAAAATAAGACTGAATTGTCAAAGTTCATGTAGCATACAAGATATCCTCAAATACTATTTACCAACTTCAACATCGCCAAGCTGTCTACGCAACATCATTTGCCTCACATCTCGTGGTAAACGTGCTTCAATTCCAGTTGCACAAATGATGAAAGGGGTGTCACGATATAAACGCCTCACTGTTGGTACCCACTAGAAGTATATTAAATATCAAAACATCAACTTTTCAAAACAGTTGTGGCAAAACGGTGATATAAATTTAAAATACAATTACTATTTAAATATCAAACACTTAGAAAATTATAAAACAATCCCTTCACCTTCTGATGAATGCTTTCAAATTGCCTTAGGCTACCAATGTGATAAAAAATGATGATAGCATCAAGATGGCTACATCGAATCATTGTCGGAATTCGTTCAAAATCCTGTATTCTTTCAGCAGTGATGAGCTCAATCTAAAATGTAAATTCTTTAAAATGAAAAAAAATGAGTTCACAAAATAAAAACTTGGAGCCATGACCATTTTTCGAAGAAAAACAATTTCTTTGCTCATTATTACTGGTTTTTATCACTGGAACCACGGTATCCACAAAAAAGACTTTGGGATATTAAATATACATAATTTTTAAGTAATGGAAGCAATCGACCTTTCTATAATGAAGTTGATCTAATGCTTTAAACATCTGTTTATTCTTGTATTGATCATAACGTGTATATTCTAACACTTATTTGCAACGTTTGAAAATTTTTCTATAATCGTACTAACTTGTATTCCCTGCACTGTCACGACATTTGAGTCAAGTACATCAATGCGTTCGAAAACAGAGTCTTTCTGAAAAGCGTAATACATAAGAAAGTACATGTGACCACTATCACTGATCTGTAATTTAAATGAATTTTTTGCACACCTCTAATAATTTGAAATCACTGCAAACTTTTTTATTGACAATGAAATCCAAAATTGCAAATTATTGTTTATAAATTTTGGTATTATTATAAGAATTGTTGAAAGCGAAAAGACCGAAGCTTTCTGGGCTTCCAGATCGTTGTTTTGGTTTGATAGAAGCTGTACGTATGCGCGACGAACGTTGTTTTTTTCAGATCCAATCTCACCAATCAAAGCAACTCGAAAGTAGGATAACCGGTCAGAAGATGTCGCTAATAATGAAAAATAGCCTTTCATTTAAATGTATTAAAAGACACTGCACTTAATTCAGGCTATCAGCATATTATTGAGCCAACATGCCTGAATCAAGTAATCAGGAATCTTTTCGATGAATCAAGCAGAAAGAAACGAAGATACTCCAGATCTTTATCCTTAATGGCTGTAAAATCAAATTTTCAAATAGAATTTCAGTAATGATAATAGTACGTTGGAGATCCACTGGCGATGAAGTGATATCAAAATATCTATCAAATTTGCATCTTGCTGATAACAATAAGGAAAGCGATGAAGACGGCATATTCAAAATTGCAAATATATAATAACAGCACAACCAGTCACTACAATGACAATAATAACAATAACGACCGTACTGTATGAATTTATTGTTATCACATACCAACCAAACACTGCAACGTCGCATTAGCAAGAAGCACTCTGCATGATTCACAATGTTGTATGATTGGCATCGCAGTACTCGACAGATAGTGTCGTGCATGAAGGTGATGCTCCAGTTTAAGCTTAGTTCAGATGGTTTTGAAATCATTCATATCATCAGAAGAAAAATGATAATGTATTTCTCATTGCTCATTACATTAAAATATTCCCAATTATTACCAGTGCAACTTATGTAAAGCACAGTCTCCACTTTTATCAATTCACTTTTTTGAATGATGCATTCTCAGATCAAATAAAAAGATCATGCAGTCCATTTATCAGTGCTATCTAATCAAACAGAAAATGACAGTGTGCTTGAGATATTCAGTTTTAGAGTCTCAATAAAATTCATCCTTCTCAAACGCTGTTAATATAAACTGCAGAGATGAGCAAACATATGTAACAAAATAAGTTCATTTTAACAAATGCTTCCAGCTTTTTCACTGAAGAACTTAGCTCAGGCTTGAGTTTAGATTCCGAAAAGAGCGAAATTCGGTATTAGCAGTAGATATGAAGTGCTGATAAGATTAGATTTTAAAGTAACAAGCTGAAAATCTACGAGGTAGACTGGAAAACACTGACCTTAAAAGTTATAGTTTTTTAACGGAGTAAAGGTGCTAAATTACTTACATTTTGTCAACAAATAGCAGTTGCAAGAATAAAAATCATCTCAAAGATATGTTTAGATGACGTGCTGCGTAATTATTGCCTACATTTAATTTTTGCATGCGCATTTATTGTAAATTTACGACCGAAAATAAATATGTGAAACTGAGTAAAAATATCACATACGCCTACGCCTTCACTTTTTTGGGTTTACAAGTCGTTTACAGTACGCTAAATAACGAAATTATAGTAAACGAGCTTAAACTTAAGCTTAAATCCCGAAAATAATAAAATTCGCTACCAGCAACAATCAAAGAGCCAATTGTCCGAGGAGTATCTCCTCTCTCTATTACGCTTATATAAATCAAATTTCACTTAGCTGAAATTTATTTATAATAGTTAGAAACAGCGTATTTCTCGTAACCGGATGCTCGTTAAATGAAATATAAATTAGAACTCATAAGTCAATTAAAGCATGATACACAAAAAAACTAAAGGTTATCTCCGCAGTTTCTGTCACTTTGGAAAGCGAATTGCATGAGTGAGTTACTCTCCAAATACTCGAGAATTGCAAAGATTTCTGGAATAACGTGTTCAACTTCGTAAACCATTTCTCTAGTTGAAATCCTGTTTAACATTAATGAGTACCACTAAAAAGATACATGTTGAAACGCAATCACGTACACGACTAAATTTTCGTTAAATATTCATGATTTTCTCTACAAATAATTTCTCAAACGATTAAGTATACTAATTAGCACCATTTATTCGCGGAAATTTTGAATAGACGAAAAAGTCAAAACGAAACAAAGAAGCAATTGCAATATATAATTAGAATTTAAGCACATAAATTTGCAACTTTGAAGAACTGATCATTTTCTAGACAAAAAAAGTATTTGATCTGATATGAATTTTTTTGCCTGCGAAAGGATCAACGAAGGAGGTTGATAGAGTAAGGACATTTCCATCTCATAATTGGTTACATAGAATTATCTGCACCATTTGATACGACTGCGCCATTATTCTACTCTCACTTCATTTTACAACTGCTACGTTTGAATGCATCTAATATTTGAGTTTCATCATACCATACTTATTTCACAGTACCATTGCACCACTGTCAGAAATCCTCCAGTTTGCTTGAATATGGTGTATGAGTGAATGTTTTTGGAATGGCACTGAAACAATCTTTGGATAATTCTTTAACTTCTGAGAGTTACTATCAACAACTTCAAATTCAGAATAGTAAATTTGATTTAGCCTCTTGAATACTCTTTCTAAGTTTGAATTTGTTATCTGCTCTTATAATTGTATAAACATAAAATTTGAAGTTGAAACTTGACAAGTGGCTACGTGTATAGATTAGTAATGATTACTGAAAATTTAAGCGTGCAACAACCATTTGATTAAGAGTGGCACAATGAAATGAAGAAGTGCACAATGTGAGGGAAAATGACTTAATATTAATTCCTCAGCGCTATATTTTAGTTTGATAAGAAGTCTTGGTCAAATTTCAATGCTTTATCAAGACCTCACTTTTCATCGTAAATTTGTTTCATTACTCATTTTTGTACCGTGTTAGGCTTTAATTCATTTTTAATGCAACATATTTGATCACGTAAATGCAAGAAGTAGCAAAGTTGTCCATGATTTTCTAATCAGTGATATTGCATAAATCTAATCCACGTCTAATCAATAACTTTGAAATCTCCAAATTCATGATCAGACTAGTAGAGAAACTCAATATTGAAAATCTCAATATATCAATTACACTTTGCCGATGGCATGTATACGAAGTTTAGCTTTCAAGCACCACTAATGCAGTAATTTATACGATACGTCTGCAGCAAATTATTCATCAGCATGTACTAACTGCGATAGGAAATAACCATTTCCAACGTACAGTTCAACGAAGATTCCCGAAAAACTTCAGTACATGAAGATATGCATGCATTCCTCAATAGGAAGGTTGCTCAGAATTTAACATATCTAATATGTAAAGTACGATCAATGTTCTTTTTTGAGATTTGAGGACATCAGTGACATTACTTACGACAAATGAACAAGGAGGGACTAAAATCACTAGAAATCCAAACATTGAAACCTCATGCATCATCAGAAGAACTAATTCATAGCAGATGATGGAACTCATTAATAAAAGAGCCGAGCAATGAAGTGATTGATGATATATTAAGCAGATGTTCAAATTATTCTTGTCAAAACCAGACTCTACCTTCTATTTTCATCTTAACGCAAAGCAAATGACATACTGACCACTCTGCGAGATAGAAATAACATTAAAGAAATAGAGATATTCATGTGTAAGCATCTCCATCTAGGAGGCAGCAGAATTACAAGCTCTGGCAAATGGCTGAAGAATGCAATGACTAGAAATATCTGAAAATCTTGAAATTTAAAAATGTCTCTTTCAAATAAGGCGGCTACCGTAAACGATTAGTAACTGAAAAAAAACCATAAATCACAATTCATCTCAAGCGAAACGTAGATTTGCTTCACACAAGCAATAAATAAAATTTGAATTCCTCCGCTGCATTTGTTGCATTTTTCAACCAATACGCCTAGTTAGAAGGCAGTATTAACTTCTGGCGAGGGGCTGTATTTCTATTTACTGCGCATCATAGAAAAGAATAAATTTAAGTCTGGAAAATTTTTGTAACCGCTGTGTCTCGAAAACAGATCTAACATCGCCGCCACCAAAAAAAATTGCTGAATATTTTTTTGGAAACTTTGGCTATATATGACCTTCTATATTTCGTTGGGCAGTGCAGAAAAGCGTTTTTGGTAATTCTGAAATATTTTTCGTTTCTTGACCAAATTACTTCGAAAAACTGTCCTATCTCTGACTGCTCATTTCACGTATTGAAAGTTGTGCATTCGTTCTTGATAATTCTTTTAAATTAATGTCTTTAATTTCTTTTGCGAATATTTTTAGTCATTAATATGTTCGAATTGATTATTGGACTTATTGCTTAAGGTAATGGAATTGTATCTATTTTTGTACACTAAGCATGCAATGTCGTCACTTGATCTATTATTTATTGACTTCGAACAGTGAAAAATTTTCAAAATTGTCAATAGAACGTTGCATTATCTGTATTCATGAGAAGTTTTCAGGTTACGTTCTGATTTTCCTTTTAGACTTTCAAAACTCGAATTTTCATGTCCGTATCAGTCATGCATTTTGTGATAAATAATACCTACTTTTCATTACAACTCAAATATTTGATTATAAATTAACGAAAACTAGACAAAAAATAAGTTTATTTTTCATTATCAAAATATAAGGAACAATACTGATAATTTCAAAGCACAGAAATATTCAGTCTTAAGCAAAATAATGACATAATATTCATTTTCACATCATTTCAATATCATTCTTTATCTCATATTCGTAGTAATTGCAAGTGAAACAGCACTTTTCTCGAATACTTTCATTGCCACACCTGAATAGCTTAATAAATGAATGAATGGTCACTGATTGAGAACGGCAAGTGAAAGATGCAAAGTCTTGGAAAGTCCTTTCAATCGGACAATAAATCATTTCTGCTTTTGCTTCAATACTCAGTCCAGGTAGTGGTCGCACGATAATATTTCACTGTTATTAATGTTATTTTGATTATGAATTATTATTTTTATGCAAGCAAAATTGAATTTTCATTTAAATTTTGCTAATTCAAAAGTAGCATTTGTTGGAAATATAAATATTTAAAATATTTTTAGTGAATCGCACGACGCAGTTCAAATAATCAGTTCTAAAAGAACAAAACATGTTTCTACATGAATTCCTTTTAATTGAAAAATACAGATTTTAGTCTTAAATTGACGTAAGTATGGACAGCGTTGAGGTATCTGTCATTTATGACTTTTTGGACGTCATTTTCTTCAGAATGTCGAGTTTGAAATATCACTCTGTTTTTATGAATACAATGTTTATGAAGTTAATTAACGTTTCGAAAGAGGAAAACTTACGAGTGAAATATTTTCAGAATCTCACAGTACCGTGATTTGTCAGAACAAGAACTATTCGCCATCCCTTTCGCGTTTTTATCTGAAATTAAGTTTGTATATTGCATTTCTATTTTGTATATAAAATAAATATATGCGAGTTTTGTATTTCATTTGAACAGTTCAGAAGGAAATACTGCTTAAACAAATTTTTACCCAAACGAAGAGAGGCTTGTGTAAGCAAATAAGCTCAAATTAAGCATATACTATTTGAACACTTGGTGCTGGCTTGGTGAGTGAAGTAATAATTTTCAGGCTAGTATTAAACATCTTAAGTTTTCACTTCTCGCTCTATCGCTGTGTATTCCATTGTGAAACCAAGCATTTCAAGCTTAATCCAATTCAAGTTTCTAATTCCCTACCAGAAACGCAAAATTTTGCTGATTTATTCAGCAATACAGAAGGGTTTCATACTGTAGTAATAAAGCCTTGTATATATTGATTCATAATTTCAGTAATATTACGGATTGCAAGACGTAGATGGGATCGAGAAAATGGCTGCACAAATTAAAACTGCCTGCTTCACAAATAAATGTGATATTTTTACGCTTCTTATTCAAGTATTCTCATTAAAACTATTTTCTGCTTACTAATCTCCATTGCTTAAGATCTGAAAAAGTTAGACATAACTACTGTCAACGGTGGTTGTTTTGCAATTTTCAACAGCAAAACGTAAATTGTAATGATGATTTCAGGGTACTTCACCAAAACGCCAGTCTGCGACGGCCGGGAATCGAACCCGGATCGCCCGCGTGGGAGGCGAGCATTCTACCATTGAACCACCGACGCCACACTGGCACGATCAAACTTTTTCTTGATGAATTCAAATTTTATTCTTTGTGGTTATTTTGAGTTGTGGTACTGGTGCAAAATTATTTTTAATAAAAAAAAATCGATCAGAAACACCCAAAACTACAAAGCACAAGCATACAACTACATTTGTATATATATATTTATTGCTCTCAGAATGCATGGATAGCCTGTTGGTACTGAAATTAAATGAACACAAATTTGCACTTAAAATAACGAACAAACGAAATAAAAAAAATCCTCCAAGCACTGCTTGAATCAATTTGGTAACTAATTTAAACGAGAAAACATTTGGTACTCATTCGCAAACTTTTAAATTTGGTACAGTTTTTTTGGTTCCTTTGCGTAAACTATTTCAAAAAGCATGAAAATGTCCAAAATATTGGGAATTGAGTACACTAATTATTCGTTTATTCAATGCTTTCGTATGAAAACTACTCTCTAAACTTTTGGTAGACGAAAGTCGTGTGGAACAGTTTTTTTTCATATTTTGTGATTTCATCTTTGAATAATGCGAAATGAACAAATGACAAACAAAGAAACGAACGAAAATAATTAAAGAAATAAAAATGGAAGTTAGAGAGCTGAGTTTTTCGGTCCAAATGTGTGGAACTGAACGCTTTAAAGAGCCTGAAGTACACATGTGTTATTAGGGAGAGGCAAAATAACTTCCAGTCTTTGTCTGGCAAAAAGCTAAAAATGGCATTACATTCAAAACTTATCATTCGTACTGGCAGGCAAGAAAAAAATTGAGGCGAAAAATAACTGCAAGGAAGTCAGCCACGGGATTTCGATCAGAGTAAGTTAAGTAAGTAAAGTACGCTGCGCAGGAAACTATGCACTACAAAATTTGCACAAATGAAAGAAGTATGAATTTAGAGCCAATGTTTCGGAGTAAATAATAAATGTAGTAGAATGCAGTGAAAGAAGAAACAAAAAGTTGGTGACACAGAGTCATGCAGTTGAGAGGGGACATTTCATCTCTCATGCAAATTTATGCCATCAGCAAGGTCAATAGGTCAAGACAGTCGACCCCAACTTTTGACATAATAAAATGAGCGAATGTACGAGTTATTCAGAGCAGGCAAGCAGTTGTGCACAAAATAGGAACAGTTAGAAAACAATCTGAGAAGAACTGAAAAATGGAATACAAAACTACGCTGCTAAGTAAATGGATATTATTAATCCAAAACTGCAGTTTATTAATTTGCTTTCTTCAATTGATATCAAAAATTGCTAGCACATTTTCTCTAAAATACTTCCAACGATTTATACTCAGTTCAGTTAAAAGCATAATTATAGTGTGATGGCAATGGCACCACGCATCAATATTTAAAGGAAGCGATGGTCGAATTGGTAGCAGATGCCTTCAGCCATGAAAAAATGCATAATGACTACTTAACTGTTTGGTGCAAATCTCTTTTGAGCATTTTTATAACTTCAAAAAGATTGCATTTAATTCTTTCAGAAAAAAACATTTGTTGATGAATTTCGCTAGTTAAAAAGTGAAGTCAACTGGCACTAAATTACCTTCATTATTCGTGGGAAACTCTATTAAAGTCAGTTTTTTTTAATTGGAAATAAGAAAGTTGCAATTATTTCGCTTTTAATCAGTGTAAACTGCATTAATTCTCTTGAAAATGCAACTAAAATTTTGCAGTTCTCTAGCTGATATCTTTTACTTTCATTCTCAAGATTGAAAGTTAGATTCTCCGTCGTAAATTGCCACTCTCATCAGATTCCCAATTATAAAGCCGCCAACCACGCCACCTTTCCCATCCTTTGAATAGAGGCCGAGGAGTGAATGCAAGAAGACTCGAAACTGAAGCACCTTTTAGAGATTTTGGACATGAAGACAACATAGAACCACTAGATTTATCGCATGAACGTATCGCAGGTGGTCGAAGCGATGACTGACAATTACGACCTGCTGGCTTACGTGTTCCACGCCATATGCAACGTAAAATGCGCATCTAAAAATAAGTCATCGATTATTAAGCATTTAAATTCTGAAAAATTTGTTAGTTTATTACAATTTTATAGCTGCAAAATTTTTTCAAACTTTCGTTACAATTATTTTGAACCTTAAATTTGATCTTCCAAAAACTACACTTTTACCTGTACGCCACCATCTCCACACGTTCGACTGCATTGGCCCCATACAGACGACCGCCATTCTGCAGTGCAATTTACTGAAACGTTCATCAAAGTGTAAATAATTTTTTAAGAGAATATTTGTTACAATAATTTTTCAGTTAAAAAATTCATCACTAGATTTTAATGAGACGTGTAAGAATTACATGAATTACAATTTAAAGCTGTTTGTATTTGAAAAATAAAAGCTGAACTATAGGTAGTATTTTGCAGGTTCATCGAAGAAATGGCAATTACAGCTGCACTCAGGAACAAGTTCACGCAAGCTTTACTTAGCGATGTCAAGATGAAAAGTTAGTGGGTAGTGCTATCACTCAGGCATGTTAGTTTGAATTGAAGTGAGCAAAATATAGCCAAGTAGGCTTTGCAGACAAAAATTAGGCTTTGAAATGTAATGGCTCAGTTTCAGCAACAAGATTCATCAATTTCCATTAACTGTATAAAGAAGCTGAAGGTGGAATGGAATCAAGGAGAGACTTCTGCACTGTTTTAAACTGAAATCCAAGTCTCATTGCACCGTTATCGACATTATAACGATGCTGCTATGGTATAAATCGGTCAAAAAAATTATTTTTTTAAGCAGGACACATGTTGACTATAACGAATACGAGTCTACTTCTGTAAAAAGAATCTTGTTCTTTCGCTGCATATAAAGCCAAATCTAAGCCTAACATTTTTAGAAACTTTTTATAGTTAAGATAAATAATTTGATTATGCGCTTGAAGTTAGTGCTTTTCACAATCAAATATTATCGGTTAGAAGGATAGAAAAAAAGCTCTTTTTCACATTCATTGGTACTACGAATATGCCATTCTATGCATTTTAAACTAAATATATAAATATTTAGACCGTTTGAATGCAAAGTGTAGAAGATGGATTAAGAATAATATAGTTACAGATGATTTCATCTTTTCATTACTACACAAAGATTTATATACCATTTAAAATTTAAATTTCAATTCATTGGTCACCAGTAGTGCCCACATCTTCGGGAAATTTAACTGTTCAAGTGACTTATACTTTTGACAGAAGGACTTTCGTAAAATACCTTTTATTCTGAAAGTTAGTAATATAAATTAAAAAAACACTAACCATTGACGCATTCTTTTTTAACTTTTGGCCGACTTCCTTTTTCACAAAGGTGAAAGGGTGCAGCTGTACCATTTATATACGCGCACTTTACTTCACGTTTTTGGATAGATGTAGCATGTCGAATACAACGTGACATCGAACACTGCAAACATTAGCTTATTCGAAGGGATTATGTGAAAAGTTCTCTATCATAAATTGTGTATGAGCATAAGTTAAGACCTTTATCACATTGTCTCATATCAGTTATTTATAAGAAGTATGAATCGAAATAAATAAAAATAAAGACGAAAAATTTAATTACCAGATCGGGTCCAAAACGCTAACTATTTTATACAATGTTATTAAAAACCCATTTTGTCCTAAATTAAAAAAAAAAGATTTTCAGAACAATAAGTTTCTATATTTATACTTCGGACCAACGAGATGTTTGCCATCGAGGACAATGAGATGGAAGACAACTTCTTGAGGAGGGTGGCCGATTCACCCCGAAACTTTCGCATATATCATCATCAAGATATCCAACTGACCCCTGGTAACTCAAGCGACATTTCAATTGCCGTATCTAAAAATTACAACTTTTATTACAGTTCACATTCTCAACTTGTGCTCTACGCACCAAAACGCATCAATAAATCTGAGAACAAGTAGTTCAGATTGCTTGCGAATAATTCGTTAGCTCTACCTGAGCACCACCTGACCCTCCACATTCAGTATGCGAGCATTTCGACCAGTCACCAGTTGCATAATCAACCTAAACTTGTTATCATATAATATTCGTAGTACATTGGTTGTCAAGAGCTATAAAATAAAAAGTACCTTAATATTGCCTGGTTCAGTTACATCAGCCAAGCGATCAAACATTCGAATATCATGATTCTTTTTCAGTGACTCACGTACTTTCTGCAAAATACTTGTTTTCAGTGATTTCACTGAATATTTCTGGTACTCTTGTAATACTGAGTGTTAAAATATTTTTAATTGATAGTATATAATAGTAATTCAAAACAACTTGTATTAGCTGAAAATCAACAGCAGCCGGATCTGCATCGATCTCATCTTCTAGCAAATTTTTACTCAACATAGAACGAGAATCATTTTCAAGTTCGTCCTGCAAAAAATAAATGCGAAAATTCATTCTAATACCTTCTCAACAATAAATTCGATGAATACTGAATAATTGGATACCTCTAAGTTATTACGTGGCTTAAAGCTCAGTGTTACATTGCCCTGAACACCATTAGCAATACAAGCATACAAACCAGCGTCTTTCATTGTGGCGTGAAAAATACGTAATGCACCGTTTGAGGATATTTTTACGTGAGCTAGAAAGGTTGAATGTTAAAGGAAAGTATTACTACTTAGATTGATAATACCTTGACAAACTATTTTTACAAAATTTTTTGACTATTTTTGCAAAATTCAATCTGTTATACCATAAATATCCATAAATATGCATAATATGAGAGAAATACATCGAATCTCAACATTTTTGAAAGAGTACATACCGTTGTTTTCAATTGGCTTTCCATTTTTAGTCCATATAATCTTATTTTTTGCATAATTACGTACGGGACATTTGACCTTTAATAAGTTTTAATCTTTCCACATATATTTCAAAGGCACGCAATTTAATAACTTGAATTTGGAAGAAATAGCTTTTAAAACAAACCTTCAACGATGTACCTAAAAATAGCTTTGCACTTCCGCCAACATTTAACGTTAACTTTCGACTGTAATCATGATGTAGCAAATTTGGCATCGATGTAGCGAATTTGTTGTTATTTTGAGCAACAAAGTAACTCGATACATTGCACGTCCCTTTTTAAAATCAAGAGCAGTTAAAGTAAAGTTCGAGATAATCCTTAGAAATGTAATCAGACCTAAGCCGTCATTTTAATGCATCAAACAGTGTGCATTGTAACTGCTGCTTTGATGTTAATAGTCAGCCATTTGATTACTTATTTTTTTGTTACAAAGAAATGGAATAATTTCAATTTGCTAAAATATTCATGTAAACACGCTATTTGTTTTACCTAAGTCACACAGTTGTACAGTTGGTGGTTTCTCAACGTGGCGGCATTGAATGGGTGGATGAAATTGTTTCACTTCACCAGTAGCAACACGTTGCTCACATGCTACTTCACGACGCTGTTCACCAGGACCACAACTAGTCGAACACAAACTCCAGTCACCAATCTAGACCAAATACTTGACGCATTTTGACATGACGTGAATCATGCAAGTAATTGAAAAATGCACAGATATCCATTCTTCTAATTTTTATTATGCGTCCAACAGATGGAAATTTCATATTACAGAATTTAAAAAATAATAATAATAAAATAAACAAAAACATAACCTTCCACGTAGCAGCGCAATCAACCAAACCACACGCTTTACTACTTTCTGGTTTCGGCTGTAAGCATTGTCCATCAGGTAAAATTAGCGTCGATTCAGCACCACCACTACGTGATATACGTCGTATGCATCGTACCTAAAGTTGTCAATGATTTTTTCATAAAAAAAACTGATTAATATACTTTTGCTAGTTTTCATGTCTAATTTAAATTTAGTGGAATATAATTAATATTTATTACAAAACATGAAATTACAATAGATGTTTTTTAATCAAACTTTAAAAGCATATGAAAGTTAAAGAGTGATGATCAGACCAAACCTTTCGGGTACGTAGACCACCTCCACAAGTATGGGAGCATTCTGACATTTCTCCAACCTTAAGCTATGATTTAAGTAATTCACGAATTTCCTCTCGCATTTTTGGTTCTTTGACCATATTTGATAGCTTTACTGCTTTGATTACAGTCAGATTTAATTTACCATATATAGAGAGATCTTCATTAAAGGGAAACTAATACAAACCGTAACGATGATTTGACTAGCTTTTGCATGACAAATGTTTACTTGTGTAAGCAATTTTGATCAGTAACGCAAATCAGTTTTTGTATTTTAAAAGTCAAAGTACTGTAAGAAAAGTGAAAGCTGACATCCCATTCTGGTGGACACGGATCGTTATTGCATGATCGTGTCAAATCTACGGGTCTTTGCTTTGCATCACAGAATGACCACGCAACTGCGTTTTGACGCTTAACGTCTACACATTTGAGTGTAGAACGTTGTTTGCCTGTATAATTTAATGTCAAAATTCATTAATTACCGTCAATCACATTCAATTAATATTTTTTTAATATTTCTATTGAGAAGCACAAGTTTTGTAATTTGATTAGTTGAATTTTCCTAAGATAGTTAGTTGTTCAGGAAAATTACAATATTGTACAAAACTAATTCATCAAAAAGTTGAATTATGAAGTAAAGATAGCTCTCAATTTTTTTTGAGTCGAGATTCATAACTGCTTTTCAAAGCGAATGAATAATTTAGAGAAAGTTAAAATATTAATAAAAAAGAGTAAATGTATTTTTATATCTACTAAGACGCTGCTAGAAATGAAAAACACTATTAAAATATGTTCACCTCCAAGACATGACGCTGAGCAAGCAGTCCATTCTCCGTAATCCCACTTAAATGTGCTTGACGTGGAAAGCGATCGTTCACGTACAGTTGCTGGATCATCAGCTACTTCATTTAATGGGCACTGCTGTAGTTGACATGGTTGAAAGGCAGCTGGTTTTGTGATCCCTAAAATTAAGTGCACGTAAACTGATGCAGAAAAAAACTGATGCTTTTTTGATCTAATATTTAAGATTACAAATTCCGAAATTCAGATTAAAAGCTTAGATACATTACCTTCGCATTCGTAATCGGGTAATTTTATCACATTCGAAGTGATCCCTTGTAAAGCTATACATTCAACTGTACGTGTTGCAATTCCAGGTCCACACGTGGTGGAACAAGATCCCCACGGACCAGGATAAAATCTAAAATGGATTCCTGCGTATTCCACTGATTTGCACTTATGAACAATTTTGTCACTTTTCATTCCCAAATTAAACTATGAGATTACATATTTACTTTTTAATAATAGTTTTTGAAAACCAAAATTAATGACCAAAAAATAAAGAATGCAGAATCAGCAGATGGAATTTCAACTAATTTGCCACATTGGAAGTGCTGCTTTAAAATTTACACTTTCATTCTGGATATCATTTTTAATGAATAAAGTAAAGAAACAATAGGATAAATAATTGAATTTGCAGTTCTTTGCAGCATTGCATTATCATCTTAAAATCAAGTAAACTTGTAACTTTTCTGCATTTCGAATTTGGACAAACATTATTTGTAGTTTCAGTATTTTCTGTCGGGACAAATCCACATAGCGAAATATGCGAAAAAAAGAGGATAAACCAAACTTACTGAGGTCGTCCAGCAGCGATTTCGTTCACGGAATTATCAAAAGGGGACGAGAATTCATCTCGTTGCATTTGATGATTTTCATTATTCCATGGAGCTCTGAACGGTGCTTGGGCTACGTAACTGCAATTATATTTTTATTTTACGAACTGATCAAGACAGCAACTGATTCAGTAATAATTAATTAAGGGTCATTACAGTAGTCATTTGCTTTTAAAGTTTTAATGAAGTAGTCGGCTAATTAATACAAGCATCAATGGTATTAGCTTTTAAATGCGCTTGAAAACAAATAATCTGGAGACTAGACACACATTTCTTGCAAGCTGCAAACTTTTCTTTAATAAATAATTATTTAATTGAAGTTTTTAGTTAAAATCAAGGGTATTAGCAATTTTTTGTGCAGAAAGAAATTATGAATAATTATAAGAATACTTCAAGTGAGTGAACATTCGTTCAAAAAATTCAGTTTTTTTTGTAAGTTAAAGAATATTCAAAATCACAGATTCTAATCAAATTCGTATTTTCAAGGCAAACTATTAAGAGTTTATGCGTCTAAGTATGTACGATTTTTCAATCAGCTATGCTAAATTTGATTATTTGAGATAGAGAACAGATCAAACTTCATCTTTCTGCAGCAAAAAAAATTAATATATATTGCAAAAACGATAAGCTAAACTGGTATTATTAATTCAATTAATTTATTTTGAATTGACTCGAAAGAACTCTCCTGTTTGACTTATGCCTTTCTCTTGTCTCATTACAGTTATCCATTACTGCAAAATTAAACAAGTAATTACTTGGTTCTCTCCGTTGAATAGTACTCACAACATTCATATGCAAATCAACTTGCATAAATTTCTGAATTAATATAAACTCACTGCTCACGAAATTATAATACTGTTTATTGTTATTGTTGCTGAAGACAGCCATCGAAAAAATTGCTTGTGAATCCCTTATCTGGTAGTGTTTTTAGTGGAATTATTTGTGTGAAAATTTGCTTTGCATCATCAATCAGTAAGAATTGATTCACATTCTAGCTGCAACTAATCACGGCCATCTAATCGCTCCCCCGGGAGGGCTTGGTAAAATTTTCTAAAATATTTTTCTAGTCTTTTCAATGCTTTGCTGTCTATTAGCAGTTTATGGCTTCTTTTTTCTCGAGCAAATTATCCTTCTGAGATTTTGCTTCTCTTGAGACTCAGTGCTTACTGCAAGCAAAAGTAAGCTATTTATTTAAACAAAAGTTGCTTATGAGACGTATTTTTGTAACTTAAAGTTTGATAATTGTAAGTATTCCCTCAGAATATTCTTCAAAACTCATATTTACTAAGCAATTTATCTTCTCAAATTTCGGAACTTGAATGGGATAATTTATCAAGCACGCTTTCATTGCTACAAATTTGCCTTTATTATTCTCGTTTCTAATTTTTGCATCTACACTAAATCTGTTGAATTTGCATACCTCTCTTACTTTTTTAGTCTAGTAAATTAGTAAGACAAAGTGAATTTGTTTTTCACTGCAGAGAGTTATGTTGACAACTGAAAAAAATTTTTAGAACTTTACTGAGCATATCGGATAGCTGGCAGCAAGTATCACTTTTGTACATCTCATTACTACTATTGCTTACTTTGCAAATTAGAGAATTACTACTGCTATTCAGTTCATTTCTGAACTGTGAAGGTCCTTTTCATCTGACATCTAGACTCGAAAAATATAGTGATTTGTTATTGGGAATTCAATAAAGTATAAGAAAGTTTCATTCAACTGTAACGTGAATTGTGGCGTGTTTGGATTACTTTTCAGGAGTTTAAGATATTAAGACTTATAACACTCGAACGATTACTAACATCACTAGTATGTCTCAAAGAGGATCAATAACACGTAGTATGTGATAAAAAATATTTTGCAAGAACTTTTGAGAACTTATCATGTGTACAATTATGTGAGAAAGAACAAAAATAACCGAAAAACACGAAGGTATTGAAGTCAATCGAGATTGATTGCTGCACGTCCGAACGGTAAGAGTCAGACTTCATACACGGTACTTATTTCGCTAATTACTGTGTCTCGATGATGTTTCCATAGAAATGTGGTGAATAATTTTTTAGAACTAATTCAGGTTATTCACATAAATGCGCTTCATTGCAGAACCAAAAGGCATCTTATCCTCACGATTGCAATTGCTTTTAAGAAAAGATTGAACTGTGCAAGTCAAACTTAAAATAGAACAGAATTTCTGTATATATGAAAACAGACAAATTGTTTATCTCAAACTCAAATTTAATAGATTATAAGACACTTCTTTATTTAAAAAACTTCACCAATTTTGCTGAAACAAACTTTAAAAACTTTCATACAGAATATTTTTAAGCCTTTTGTGTACTTTCGTTAATTGCTATTAATACAACTTTTACTTTAATGCTTGATTGTAAATGTAAGGTTTGATAGAGCACATCGTGGATACTGATCATCCATTTGCTATTTTGGTATAGAATACAATATTAGTTAAGTATATGAATGAACATTTATGTACTGTAAGCTTTATGATATGTTACTAAAATTTTATGTGCAGAAACAAATCGACTACTTATTATTGTTTCCCGTAAAGAATAGGACGAGTAGTAACTACAAATCGTACATATATGCGCAACTTTGGTAATGAAATTTTCACCATGGAAATAATCAAAATGTTTGCCATTTATGAAGCGTAAATTCACCGCTAATATTAAAAGGGAATCAGAAATCTAAATGTACATTCAATAAAGCAAATTTATTTAGTATTTATGTAAAGACAGTACCAAAATAATATGATGCAAATAAACTTACAAATTATGGTTCGCTATGGTACATTTAAATATGCAACCAGTAAGTAAACAAAGCAAATGTGTCAGTTGAAAATAGCCGTGATATGTTGTGACCATTTCAGAAAAGGCTAACAGACACACTTGAGCAATGAATATCTAAAGTTTAACAGAGCAGCAAAAGTAAAGTTTGGCCGGCAGAGGAATATTTTTAAGGATTTTAAGGCCTAAAAGTTGCTATATACAATAAATGAGGCGTGGTTTTATCACTACTATTTTTAGTACTTATGAATGTTATTTGTTATTATTATTATCATTATTATTATTATTATTATTATTATTATTA